CATAGCAGATGATGTTGACTGCTTGTCTTCTTAGGCTCCCATAGCAGATGATGTTGACTGCTTGTCTCCTTAGGCTCCCATAGCAGATGATGTTGACTGCTTGTCTCCTTAGGCTCCCATAGCAGATGATGTTGACTGCTTGTCTCCTTAGGCTCCCATAGCAGATGATGTTGACTGCTTGTCTCCTTAGGCTCCCATAGCAGATGATGTTGACTGCTTGTCTCCTTAGGCTCCCATAGCAGATGATGTTGACTGCTTGTCTCCTTAGGCTCCCATAGCAGATGATGTTGACTGCTTGTCTCCTTAGGCTCCCATAGCAGATGATGTTGACTGCTTGTCTCCTTAGGCTCCCATAGCAGATGATGTTGACTGCTTGTCTCCTTAGGCTCCCATAGCAGATGATGTTGACTGCTTGTCTCCTTAGGCTCCCATAGCAGATGATGTTGACTGCTTGTCTCCTTAGGCTCCCATAGCAGATGATGTTGACTGCTTGTCTCCTTAGGCTCCCATAGCAGATGATGTTGACTGCTTGTCTCCTTAGGCTCCCATAGCAGATGATGTTGACTGCTTGTCTCCTTAGGCTCCCATAGCAGATGATGTTGACTGCTTGTCTCCTTAGGCTCCCATAGCAGATGATGTTGACTGCTTGTCTCCTTAGGCTCCCATAGCAGATGATGTTGACTGCTTGTCTCCTTAGGCTCCCATAGCAGATGATGTTGACTGCTTGTCTCCTTAGGCTCCCATAGCAGATGATGTTGACTGCTTGTCTCCTTAGGCTCCCATAGCAGATGATGTTGACTGCTTGTCTCCTTAGGCTCCCATAGCAGATGATGTTGACTGCTTGTCTCCTTAGGCTCCCATAGCAGATGATGTTGACTGCTTGTCTCCTTAGGCTCCCATAGCAGATGATGTTGACTGCTTGTCTCCTTAGGCTCCCATAGCAGATGATGTTGACTGCTTGTCTCCTTAGACTCCCATAGCAGCTGATGTTGACTGCTTGTCTCCTTAGGCTCCCATAGCAGATGATGTTGACTGCTTGTCTCCTTAGGCTTCCATAGCAGATGATGTTGACTGCGTGTCTCCTTAGGCTCCCATAGCAGCTGATGTTGACTGCTTGTCTCCTTAGACTCCCATAGCAGATGATGTTGACTGCTTGTCTCCTTAGGCTCCCATAGCAGCTGATGTTGACTGCTTGTCTCCTTAGACTCCCATAGCAGATGATGTTGACTGCTTGTCTCCTTAGACTCCCATAGCAGATGATGTTGACTGCTTGTCTCCTTAGACTCCCATAGCAGATGATGTTGACTGCTTGTCTCCTTAGGCTCCCATAGCACGTGATGTTGACTGCTTGTCTCCTTAGACTCCCATAGCAGATGATGTTGACTGCTTGTCTCCTTAGACTCCCATAGCAGCTGATGTTGACTGCTTGTCTCCTTAGGCTCCCATAGCAGATGATGTTGACTGCTTGTCTCCTTAGGCTTCAATAGCAGATGATGTTGACTGCTTGTCTTCTTAGGCTCCCATAGCAGATGATGTTGACTGCTTGTCTCCTTAGGCTCCCATAGCAGCTGATGTTGACTGCTTGTCTTCTTAGGCTCACATAGCAGATGATGTTGACTGCTTGTCTCCTTAGGCTTCCATAGCAGATGATGTTGACTGCTTGTCTTCTTAGGCTCCCATAGCAGATGATGTTGACTGCTTGTCTCCTTAGACTCCCATAGCAGCTGATGTTGACTGCTTGTCTCCTTAGGCTCCCATAGCAGCTGATGTTGACTGCTTGTCTCCTTAGGCTCCCATAGCAGCTGATGTTGACTGCTTGTCTCCTTAGGCTCCCATAGCAGATGATGTTGACTGCTTGTCTCCTTAGGCTCCCATAGCAGATGATGTTGACTGCTTGTCTCCTTAGGCTCCCATAGCAGATGATGTTGACTGCTTGTCTCCTTAGGCTCCCATAGCAGCTGATGTTGACTGCTTGTCTCCTTAGACTCCCATAGCAGCTGATGTTGACTGCTTGTCTCCTTAGACTCCCATAGCAGATGATGTTGACTGCTTGTCTCCTTAGGCTCCCATAGCAGCTGATGTTGACTGCTTGTCTCCTTAGGCTCCCATAGCAGCTGATGTTGACTGCTTGTCTCCTTAGACTCCCATAGCAGATGATGTTGACTGCTTGTCTCCTTAGGCTCCCATAGCAGCTGATGTTGACTGCTTGTCTCCTTAGGCTCCCATAGCAGATGATGTTGACTGCTTGTCTCCTTAGGCTCCCATAGCAGATGATGTTGACTGCTTGTCTCCTTAGGCTCCCATAGCAGATGATGTTGACTGCTTGTCTCCTTAGGCTCCCATAGCAGATGATGTTGACTGCTTGTCTCCTTAGGCTCCCATAGCAGATGATGTTGACTGCTTGTCTCCTTAGGCTCCCATAGCAGATGATGTTGACTGCTTGTCTCCTTAGGCTCCCATAGCAGATGATGTTGACTGCTTGTCTCCTTAGGCTCCCATAGCAGATGATGTTGACTGCTTGTCTCCTTAGGCTCCCATAGCAGATGATGTTGACTGCTTGTCTCCTTAGGCTCCCATAGCAGATGATGTTGACTGCTTGTCTCCTTAGGCTCCCATAGCAGATGATGTTGACTGCTTGTCTCCTTAGGCTCCCATAGCAGATGATGTTGACTGCTTGTCTCCTTAGGCTCCCATAGCAGATGATGTTGACTGCTTGTCTCCTTAGGCTCCCATAGCAGATGATGTTGACTGCTTGTCTCCTTAGGCTCCCATAGCAGATGATGTTGACTGCTTGTCTCCTTAGGCTCCCATAGCAGATGATGTTGACTGCTTGTCTCCTTAGGCTCCCATAGCAGATGATGTTGACTGCTTGTCTCCTTAGGCTCCCATAGCAGATGATGTTGACTGCTTGTCTCCTTAGACTCCCATAGCAGCTGATGTTGACTGCTTGTCTCCTTAGGCTCCCATAGCAGATGATGTTGACTGCTTGTCTCCTTAGACTCCCATAGCAGCTGATGTTGACTGCTTGTCTCCTTAGGCTCCCATAGCAGCTGATGTTGACTGCTTGTCTCCTTAGGCTCCCATAGCAGCTGATGTTGACTGCTTGTCTCCTTAGGCTCCCATAGCAGATGATGTTGACTGCTTGTCTCCTTAGACTCCCATAGCAGCTGATGTTGACTGCTTGTCTCCTTAGACTCCCATAGCAGCTGATGTTGACTGCTTGTCTCCTTAGGCTCCCATAGCAGAAGATGTTGACTGCTTGTCTCCTTTCCCAGTTTTCTCCTTGCCCACTTGGTAATGCGCTTAAAAAATTCATCAATTATGGAGTGAGAAAAGAGTCTTTGTTTCCTCGATGTTGTATGATGTGATATTCCATTGTATATTGTTGTATTTTATTGTTTGTTTTGTATTGTGTTATATGGTGTTTTATGATAATAATATTAATAAAGTTTATTTCAAAAACTCGATTCATCCCCAAAGGCTCGAGATGCGGTACAAAGTAAAAAAAAAAATAATAAGAAAAAAAACACTATAATTTACAACATTTAAAAAATGATGTATGTTATTGTATATTTATGTATTGTGTTGTATAATGTATGTTGTTGTATGTTATTGTATGTAGTTGTACGGTGTTGTATGATTTTTATTTGGGGATTTCTGTTGGTGTATTGTGTTGTACATTGATGTGGAGAGCTACATGTTCTTTGAACACAATTCTGATAATCCAAGAAAGTCGAAATTATTCTCTTATCACAGTGATTCATTTCTTCCAATTTAGCTAAAGTGATGATTCGTGCCGCGCTATCATTAGACACATGCATCGAGTATTGTTAGTTGAATGGAGTGATTAATTGGAAGCTGGGGTCCCCCACCCCTTTTTCATGTCAGCAATTCTATGTTAACAGTTCCATGTCAGCCGTTCCCTGTCAGCCGTTCCATGTCAGCCGTTCCATGTCAGCCGTTCCATGTCAGCAGTTCCATGTCAGCAGTTCCATGTCAGCAGTTCCATTTCAGCAGTTCCATGTCAGCAGTTCCATGTCAGCAGTTCTATGTCAGCAGTTCTATGTCAGCAGTTCTATGTCAGCAGTTCTATGTCAACAGTTCTATGTCAGTAGTTCTATGTCAGCAGTTCTAAGTCAGCAGTTCCATGTCAGCAGTTCCATGTCAGCAGTTCTATGTCAGCAGTTCCATGTCAGCAGTTCTATGTCAGCCGTTCCATGTCAGCCGTTCTATGTCAGCAGTTCTATGTCAGCAGTTCTAAGTCAGCAGTTCCATGTCAGCAGTTCCATGTCAGCAGTTCTATGTCAGCAGTTCCATGTCAGCAGTTCTATGTCAGCAGTTCCATGTCAGCCGTTCATGTCAGCAGTTCTATGTCAGCCGTTCTATGTCAGCCGTTCTATGTCAGCAGTTCTATGTCAGCAGTTCTATGTAAGCAGTTCTATGTCAGCAGTTCTATGTCAGCAGTTCTATGTCAGCAGTTATATGTCAGCAGTTCTATGTCAGCAGTTCTATGTCAGCAGTTCTATGTCAGCCGTTCCATGTCAGCCGTTCCATGTCAGCAGTTCCATGTCAGCAGTTCTATGTCAGCAGTTCCATGTCAACAGTTCTATGTCAGCCGTTCCATGTCAGCCGTTCTATGTCAGCAGTTCTATGTCAGCAGTTCTAAGTCAGCAGTTCCATGTCAGCAGTTCCATGTCAGCAGTTCCATGTCAGCAGTTCGATGTCAGCAGTTCTATGTTTGCAGTTCTCTGCCCTTCATGGCTCACGTGGCTTCCAATAAGAGACACCGACAGTCTGAACACTACCCAGAGTCCTGGCCAACGGCAGCTAGAGAAATGAACTGGCAGATTCGAGAAGAATTGACCAGACACTTAGACGGGGCTTTTTATATTAAAATGAAACTTTGTGTACACCGATGTTAGATATGTTGCATCTTCAATTTATTATATTTGTCAGCTGACATTGAACATTGTAGAAAATACATTATTCATCAAAAATCATTCATTATATATCAAACAAATACATCATTTTAAACCTAAAACTACCATAAAATGTAATGAACAAATGTCAACAAAAAGAAGAAACAAACAAAAGCTTTAGAGTAATTTTTAAGTTAACACCAAAATTCTGCCTTGTCTAGCGTAAACTGTATAATTTTCACTTCTCAAAAGAAGTCCTTGTAGCAAAATTAGCACTACGGAAGGGCACAGAAAACAAGCAGCCAATGCTCTCCTACGAGAAGTGTAGCTGAGACCGCCACAACAGGACTGGCCTCATTAGCCAATCGAGAAGGTGCAACTAATACAGACGCTACACCATTGTCTCACGACGACTGAAGAATGGTTACCGGAAATTTGTTTGACAGAAATTTCGTCGACGGAAGTTTGATCAAACGGAAATTTGATCGAACTGAAATTTGGTCGAACGGAAGTTTGGTCAAATTTTATGTTCAGTTGACACAATCAAATTTTGCGTCAAATTTATTTTTGAACGTATTATTTTGTTTTACTATATAGCACATTGCGTTTAAAAAGAAATTTGATGAAATTTGATCGTATAAAGTGGAGAAAAAAACATTCGATCAAAATTCCGTTCGACCAAACTTCCGTTCGATCAAACCTCCGTTCGATCAAACTTCCGTCGATCAATTTTCCGTCGACGAAATTTCTTTCCGGATATGCTGAAGAATACAATTTCTTAATTGTCTACTGAATATTGTATTGTGAACAGCTAAATTATGGGCCAGTTTGCAAATGGAAGCTTGCACTTGACAGTTTAAATTATAAAATTTTTACACAAGTAATTTTAGTATCAAAATGATACTGAACCTAAGATTTTCTAATAGAAATGCGAGTGCACAAATAAAAATAATTAAAATTAAAAAAGAAATGAAAATGAAAGAAAAAAAATTAAATGAAGATGAATATCAGACCCTCGACAAAGACTGGACATCTAAGAGTGTTGTCATTGATCTTAAACCCACTGCAGTGTGCCGAATATGTCGTAAGTCTGTGTCTGCCTTCAGAGAATATAGTCTAAGACGACAGTGTCATTCTAATCATGATAATTTTGGCATTAAATGAAGCTGAATTGAAGCACAGTGCCAATGATGAGCAATGTACAGCAGGAACAAACAACGTTTGCCATGTTGTCATCTGTACAAGAAGCCATCTGTACAAGAAGCCATCTGTACAAGAAGCCATCTGTACAAGAAGCCATCTGTACAAGAAGCCATCTGTACAAGAAGCCATCTGTACATGAAGCCATCTGTACAAGAAGCCATCTGTACAAGAAGCCATCTGTACAAGAAGCCATCTGTACAAGAAGCCACTACAATGTATTTACTGATCTCACGTTTAAAAAAATCAATAAACCATTTATTGATTGTGAACAAGTTTTTTCTTCTTCCCATGACATTTTGTAAATGAGATGGACAAAGATTGTACTGACAGCAGTGGACTTATAGACTTGCAGACTGACAAACTTCTCAAAGAGAAATTAAACGACATTGAAATTTGAATAATACAATTTTATGCGAAACTTGGAAAGGATTTTCCCAAATATAAAACACGTTGTTCTGGAATGATTCTTTAATAATGCTAAACAAATATGTGAGAACACAGCTTTCTCCTGAATGAACATCACTGAATCCATTTACAGGTGTCAGCTACACGATGTAAATTTGCATTCTATTCTATACTTTGATTCCGGACTAGGGGAAAACCCAAAAAATATTTGAAGCTACAAATATATTATGAAAAATTTTAAAACTATATAACTTAATAATAATAGACTGCCAATGTCCATTCTGTTAGGTCATATCAGGTTGTAAAATGTTACTTATAATCACACTATAATCTATAATTTTAGACAACTTTTTGTAACATTTCCATGCGGCCCTCCTTGCAAAACGTTTCCCGCCCCTAAGTTAGAACAATCCATCAAGTAGGATGTATTGTAGCTGTAAGAAAAATACCATAAAATAAATTTGATATCTTATAACATTATTTTCATAAATTTCATTTTCGAATTTAGAAAAATTCTTGAAAAAAAAAAAAATAAATTTTGCCATTATCTTAAATAAATTTTTGAAGAATAAAGAGCCGTTCCATTAAATACATTTTAGAAAGATATATTTTCTTATGTTTTAGTTTTAGAATTTAGACGCTAAAAAACAAGAAAGTAAAGGAATGCAATTATTTTTCAATCTGCGTGTACATTTGTCACCTTAATGTTTGATCACGTGGTAATTCCCTAGCTCTGTTAAGCTGTCTGTTAAGATGATGTGCAACTCGTACTAGTAAATCATCAAATATAGACAATTTTGGGCCTACATATAAGCGTCACAAAACATGAATCCTGTTTCGTCAACATTGAAAAGACAGCCTATCTCTCGCCCTGTTAAGACAGTGATTTAAAATACTTCTTTATCCCCTTGTAGACTAGTTGTTCCATGAGTGGTAGGCTTACAATCTGAACACTTCGTCCAATCAGTGACTGTTTCAGATCTAGTATACAAATCTTCCCTCCCTTGGCAGTAGACACGTGATTGACAGTCGTCCAGAAAATATGTCTAATTCTTGACAAGCCCCGCCTTCTAAAGTCTTTGAGAAAACACCTTAATGTTGACTGCAGCCTCACTCCCACTGTTGTATTCAACTCTATCAAAAACACTTTTTACTTTGTCGTGTTTGCCGTTTGAGACAGTATCTGTCGGGGCTCTCTCTCCTGTTGTCGGACTAATGTCTATCTCCACGTCGTCCAGCATGGCCCATTTTTCCACTTCTCCCACGGCGAAGCCACCAAAGACGATTGTTCCCAACAAGCAGAGCCCACCACAAATATAGAAGACGTTTCTCCATTCTTCTTGAGTTTTCTGTGGACGTAAATAAGAATACAACAATATAGCAAAGAAGAGATTGAGAGAAGTTGGATTATTTCCAGAAAGACTTTTACCTCTTTTGTCGGTTAAAGTGATCTACTAAATATTTAGAATCTAACCCACTAGAAGGATCTGAGACAGCTTTAACGTTAACGACCAAATACATGAAAATAATGAAAGTGATTCTCACGTTTGGTGTTAAGGCGCCCACCACCAATGGGGCGACTATGCCTGGTATAGTCGCTACCATATTCGTCATCCCAAACAGAACACCAGCATACCTGTAGGTGGTCATCAATATTGACATATTTTCAAAATACAAAAATTGCCAGACTCATTTCGTTACATCTTAATGGCATCGCTTTAACTGGATACATAAAACATCAGCAGAACTGTCCGGCCATTTATAACTATTTACATTCACCCATCTACCATCTAATCAGCCCTGCATCCAACAGTTCGTTCATCCATCATCAACACAACCACTAACCCACCCCTCTGCCCACCTATGCATGCACTCCACCTCTAAATAACAATACCCCAAAATCTAGCTTTCCAACCAGCCATCCAATCAATGATGCACATAACCTTAAAATCATCATACCATCCAATATACCATTTAATCCATCTTCTTCCCAACCTTCCAATCCATCATCTAACCAGAGGTGTACCCAGGGGAGGCCAAGTTATGGCACGTAAGTGGATGCCACTAGAAAGGGTGCCCAAAACTGGCGAGCCGGATAAAGAATTCGTATTATTAAACTGATCAATGTTTGCTGATTGGTTTACATCAATGTTTGCTGATTGGTTTACATCAATGTTTGCTGATTGGTTTACATCAATGTTTGCTGATTGGTTTACATCAATGTTTGTGATTGGTTTACATCAATGTTTGCTAATTGGTTTACATCAATGTTTGCTGATTGGTTTACATCAATGTTTGCTGATTGGTTCACATCAATGTTTGCTGATTGGTTTACATCAATGTTTGCTGATTGGGTTACATCAATGTTTGCTGATTGGTTTACATCAATGTTTGCTGATTGGTTTACATCAATGTTTGCTGATTGGTTCACATCAATGTTTGCTGATTGGTTTACATCAATGTTTGCTGATTGGGTTACATCAATGTTTGCTGATTGGTTTACATCCGTGTTTGCTGATTGGTTTACATCCGTGTTTGCTGATTGGTTTACATCAATGTTTGCTAATTGGGTTACATCAATGTTTGCTGATTGGTTTACATCAATGTTTGCTGATTGGTTTACATCAATGTTTGCTAATTGGTTTACATCAATGTTTGCTAATTGGGTTACATCAATGTTTGCTGATTGGTTTACATCAATGTTTGCTGATTGGTTTACATCAATGTTTGCTGATTGGTTTATATCAATGTTTGCTGATTGGTTTATATCAATGTTTGCTGATTGGTTTATATCAATGTTTGCTGATTGGGTTACATCAATGTTTGCTGATTGGTTTAAATCAATGTTTGCTGATTGGTTTACATCCGTGTTTGCTGATTGGTTTACATCCGTGTTTGCTGATTGGTTTACATCAATGTTTGCTTATTGGTTTACATCAATGTTTGCTTATTGGTTTACATCAATGTTTGCTAATTGGGTTACATCAATGTTTGCTGATTGGTTTACATCAATGTTTGCTGATTGGTTTACATCAATGTTTGCTGATTGGTTTACATCAATGTTTGCTGATTGGTTTACATCAATGTTTGCTAATTGGTTTACATCAATGTTTGCTAATTGGGTTACATCAATGTTTGCTGATTGGTTTACATCAATGTTTGCTGATTGGTTTACATCAATGTTTGCTGATTGGTTTATATCAATGTTTGCTGATTGGTTTACATCAATGTTTGCTGATTGGTTTATATCAATGTTTGCTGATTGGTTTATATCAATGTTTGCTTATTGGTTTACATCAATGTTTGCTTATTGGTTTACATCAATGTTTGCTAATTGGGTTACATCAATGTTTGCTGATTGGTTTACATCAATGTTTGCTGATTGGTTTACATCAATGTTTGCTGATTGGTTTACATCAATGTTTGCTGATTGGTTTACATCCGTGTTTGCTGATTGGTTTACATCCGTGTTTGCTTATTGGTTTACATCAATGTTTGTGATTGGTTTACATCAATGTTTGCTGATTGGTTTACATCCGTGTTTGCTGATTGGTTTACATCCGTGTTTGCTGATTGGTTTACATCCGTGTTTGCTGAATGGCTTACATCAATGCTTGTGATTGGTTTACATCAATGTTTGCTGATTGGTTCACATCAATGTTTGTGATTGGTTTACATCAATGTTTGCCCAACGATGTGTCGCTAGAATAAGCAAACATAACATCCTTTATCTTATCTTCTTATGTGTCATATTGCAAATCAAAAGTATATTGACAAATGGAGCCATCGGTGCCTTCTACATTCACCGTATCATCGGTGCCCTTCTGAGTACACCATATCGTCCAAGCCCTTCTACATACAACATATCCTCCATGCCCTTCTACATACACCATACCATCTATGCCCTTCTACATACACCATATTATCCATTCCCTTCTACATACACCATATCATCCATGCCTTTCTACATAAAACATATCATCCATGCCCTTCTACATAAACCATATCATCCATGCCATTATACAGATACCATATCATCTATTCCCTTCTAAATAGACCATATCATCCATGCCCTTCTCCATACACCATATCATCCATGCCCTTCTACATACACCATATCATCCATGCCCTTCTACATACACCATATCATCCATGCCATTATACAGATACCATATCATCTTTCCCTTCTAAATAGACCATATCATCCATGCCCTTCTACATGCACTATATCATACATGCCCTTCTTCATACACCATATCATCCATGCCCTTCTACATGCACCATATCATCCATGCCCTTCTACATGCACTATATCATCCATGCCCTTCTTCATACACCATATCATCCATGCCCTTCTACATGCACCATATCATCCATGCCCTTCTACATGCACTATATCATCCATGCCCTTCTTCATACACCATATCATCCATGCCCTTCTTCATACACCATATCATCCATGCCCTTCTACATGCACTATATCATCCATGCCCTTCTTCATACAACATATAATCCATGCCCTTCTTCATACACCATATCATCCTGCAATTCTACATACACCATACGATACATACCCTTCTACATACACCATATCATCCATGCCCTTCTACATACCCCATATCATCCATGCCTTTCTACATAAAACATGTCATCCATGCCCTTCTACATACACCATATCATCCATGCCCTTCTACATACACCATATCATCCATGCCCTTCTACATGCAAAATATCATCCATGTCCTTCTACATACACCATATAATCCATGCCCTTCTACATACACCATATCATCCATGCCCTTCTACATGCAAAATATCATCCATGTCCTTCTACATACACCATATCATCCATGCCCTTCTACAAATACCATACCAAATGTCTGTGGCGTTCATTCTTAGTCTCATACTGAAATGATTTGAATTGAATACCAACATCTGCATCACCAACAACTGACTCATCAACATCTGACTCACCAAAATCTGACATAATGTACCTTATATGTGAGCAAAGTCCATTATTTTGGTCTAGTCTCACACATAATCTACCTTACCTATTAGCAAAGTCCACTGTATTGGTTTTGTCTCACTTATATTGTATCTTACCTGTGAGCACAGTCCACTATGTTGGTCTTGTCTCAGCCATATTGTATCTTACCTGTGACCACAGTCCACTTTGTTGGTCTTGTCTCAGGCATATTGTATCTTACCTGTGAGCACAGTCCACTTTGTTGGTCTTGTCTCAGCCATATTGTATCTTACCTGTGAGCACAGTCCACTTTGTTGGTCTTGTCTCAGCCATAATGTACATTACCTGGGAGCAAAGTCCACTGTGTTGACGTTGTACCTTACCTGGGAGCAAAGTCCACTGTGTTGACGTTGTACCCAGCGTAGCAGAAACCTTCAAATCCAACAGCAATCGCCAGCAGCCCCACAGCGTAGTCACGGTTCTCACACCCAATGAAACCGACCCCAATAATGCAGGAACCAGCTCCTAGGAAAGCTGTCAATATAAGATATAGATGTAAATATATTTATATTTATATACACACACACAAGTTTGTGATATAACAGTGTACAGTTTGTTGAGATTTGGAAAGACCTGCTCATGTTTGGGAAGTTTGTGTTTGATTGTGATGTGCAGTAAGAATATGTAAGAATAAAGTAAAATAGCATTATTTAAATGATTGATTCGACATCGAGCACCCGATCCCTAACTCTTGCCACATAAACCACCTCTATCTCTTGTCTCACATCCCTTTCACCACAAGCTTTTACCACATACCCTTAACACTAACTCTTGCCACATAAACCACCTCTATCTCTTGTCTCACATCCCTTTCACCACAAGCTTTTACCACATACCCTTAACACTAACTCTTGCCACATAAACAACCTCTATCTCTTGTCTCACATCCCTTTCACCACAAGCTTTTACCACATACCCTTAACACTAACTCTTGCCACATACCCTTAACACTAACTCTTGCCACATACCCTTAACACTAACTCTTGCCACATACCCTTAACACTAACTCTTGCCACATACCCTTAACACTAACTCTTGCAACCCCCCCACCCAATAACTTACTCTTCCAAGTACTATTTTCCCAGGCAGCTGGAGCTGTACTGTATTTCCCCTCAGACACCCTAGCGATGAGGTAATCAACTCATCTAAATATAAAAGCCTCACTTACATATAAAAGCCTCACCTGCATATTAAAGCCTCACCTACATATTAAAGCCTCACCTACATATTAAAGCCTCACCTACATATTAAAGCCTCACCTACATATTAAAGCCTCACCTACATATTAAAGCCTCACCTACATATTAAAGCCTCACCTACATATTAAAGCCTCACCTGCATATTAAAGCCTCACCTACATATTAAAGCCTCACCTACATATTAAAGCCTCACCTACATATTAAAGCCTCACCTACATATTAAAGCCTCACCTATATGTTAAAGCTTGTCATGCATATAAAAGTGTAACATACATATTAAATACGCATATACAGATTAAAGCTTTCCCTACATATTAGAGGCTCGCATACATATTGACGCCTCACCTACAGATTGGAGGAGCCTTCTGGTAGCAGCCGTACTCAGGTACTTTTTACGCAGCAAATCGGCTAACTGGCCGGCAATGAGTGATGTACAAAACATGACCATGTACGGAATAGCAGACAACAGGCCATTCTAAGACACAGCAGAAAAGACAACAACAAAAATACAACAAAGATGAAATCAAATGTGAAACATTAGACATGTATGTTTGTATGTGAAACATTAGACCTGTATGTTTGTATATGAAACATTAGACATGTATGTTTGTATGTGAAACATTAGACATGTATGTTTGTATGTGAAACCTTAGACATGTATGTTTGTATGTGAAACATTCGACATCTATTTTATGTGAAACATTAAACATGTATGTTTGTATGTGAAACATTAGGCATGTATGTTTGTTATGAGATAAAAGTCAACCATGAACATGTGGAGATTAAAGAATATGGGGACTCTGTGACGTCATACAACTCAAACTTTATCCCATTTCAACATGATGGTGTTCACATGTTTCTATTGTGACAATCATCTCTTTACGTGTCATTACCTCAGCTATGTCAAACTTGAGCACTTCCTTCATGAAGGTAGGCAGTCCAGTCATAAGTGTGTAGTGTGTCCAGTTGTTACATACGTGAGCAGTCAGACACACGTACAGGGCCTTGGATTTGAACAGCGACAGCCACGGCACTTTAAAGTTCTGTTAAGAGACCAACTAGTTATCATGATCAACTACATGGACAATAGACACATGATCCACTACATGGACAATAGACACATGATCCACTACATGGACAATAGACACCTGATCCACTACATGGACAATAGACACCTAATCAACTACATGGACAATAGACACCTGATCAACTATATGGATAATAGACACGTGATCAACAACATGGATAATAATAGGCACCTGATCGACTACATGGATAATAGACACCTCATCAACAACATGGATAATAAACAAGTGATCGACTACATGGATATAACACAATATTGTTAAAATAATGTTGAGAAAGGAGGAGATAAAACTGACTTTTGAAAAAAATCAAAAATATTTTATAAAATAAAGACAAGTAAAAAGAAAGAAAGCAAAAAGACAGTTGACATCCTACTCAAATGTCCTCTTAAAGACAGTTGACATCCTACTCAAATGTCCTCTTAAAGACAGTTGACATCCTACTCAAATGTCCTCTTAAAGACAGTTGACATCCTACTCAAATGTCCTCTTAATTGCCTCATTCTTTATTTTGACTCTGGCTTTTTGGCTGGTGTTTTGGTTTGTTTTCTTTCAGGTTTTCTCGTACCATGTAATGTGCACAGCTTGGTCGGTGTGCCATGTAATGTGCACAGCTTGGTCGGTGTGCCATGTAATGTTCACAGCTTGGTCGGTGTGCCATGTAATGTGCACAGCTTGGTCGGTATGCCATGTAATGTGCACAGCTTGGTCGGTGTGCCATGTAATGTGCACAGCTTGGTCGGTGTGCCATGTAATGTGCACAGCTTGGTCGCCGTGCCATGTAATGTGCACAGCTTGGTCGGTGTGCCATGTAATGTGCACAGCTTGGTGGGTGATCCATTGATAGAAATGGGCGCATGTCAAAATGTAAGGGGTGAACAATTATTGTGATCTTTTACAATTAGACATGTTTGAACTGTTAGCACATGTTTTACACATGTCGTATGTATAAGTACGTATATGGTCTCAGAGACTTGACAAAACCGGGTCTCATTGGTTTTCTGAGCTCCTCTCTACGATACACTGATTGTTAAGCTGCACGTGTTTTCATTCTACGAATTACAACATTCTTGATGACGTGGAGTTTGAACATACACCCACCTAATAATAGTTTAAGAACCTCTAACCTCTGGTGCTTCATTTCTTCCTCGTGTTGTAATGATGTAATCCTTCTCAGCCTTGGAGATGGTTGGATGAGATTCTGGACTGTCTTCTACCACTATGAACCAAATCAGCACCCAAATCAGACAGCCACCACCTGCAACAACAGACGGACATTCATTTTAGGAGTAGACAGCCACCACATACAACAACAGGCACATCCAAATCAGACAGCCACCATCTTCAACAACAGACACATCCAAATCAGACGACCACCATCTTCAACAACAGACACATCCAAATCAGACAGCCACTATCTTCAACAACAGGCACATCCAAATCAGACAGCCACCACCTTCAACAACAGACATAGCCAAATCAGACAGTCACCATCTTCAACAAAAGGCACATCCAAATCAGACAGCCACCACCTTCAACAACAGATATATCCAAATCAGATAGTCACCAATTGCAAACACAGACACATCCAAATCAGACAGCCACTATCTTCAACAACAGGCACATCCAAATCAGACAGCCACCACCTTCAACAACAGACATAGCCAAATCAGACAGCCACCATCTTAAACAACAGGCATATCCAATTCAGACAGCCACAACCTTCAACAGACATAGCCAAATCAGACAACAACCACCCGAAACAACAGATACAAATACACTTAAAGAGTAGCCAACGACCGCCTGTCACATCATTATCACATCAACTACACATTCTTGTCACATCATTATCACATCAACTACACATTCTGTCACATCATTATCACATCAACTACACATTCTTGTCACATCATTATCATATCAACTACACATTCTTGTCACATCATTATCACGTCAACTACAAATTCTTGTCACATCGTTGTCACATCATTATCACATCAACTACACATTCTTGTCTATTCATTATCACATCAACTACACATTCTTGTCACATCATTATCACATCAACTACACACACATATTAACTCCACATACCTGTGACATAGAATATAGAAGGCCATCCACCATCAAACCCATGAACACAAAGCCATCCAGACAAAATGTAGGTCACGATATTTCCCACATGCTGACCTACATCGTAGAAATGACATAAATTTTAAATTGTACACTCGAAATCAGGCGCCATTTTGAAATCATCCTTAAGTTGGGTATGTACTTTATAAATCCTGTATGTTTTTAGATAAGGAAAATGATTTTATTTGTTAGCTGAAATAGTGTAAAATGTACTTCATTTTAAAGGGGGTGAAGAGGCCATGTTCTATTATATCGTCTATAATGTTAGACCTATTGGATTGTCGAGTGGTGTGAGCCTGTGTCCTTGAATTCAATTCCCCCCCCCCCAGACCAAGTCAACATATAAGGTGTTCCTTTGAGTTCCCCACCTGCGTACAGAGAGAGGCGATCTTCAGCTCACGGTCCTCCTTAAGAAGAAATGCCAGGCCTTGGGATTTTGTCCCCCAAAACCTACACCTCGTCCCATTGTGACGGACAAGGCCACACCTCGTCCCATTGTGACGGACAAGTCTACACCTCGTCCCATTGTGACGGACAAGTCTACACCTCGTCCCATTGTGACGGACAAGTCTACACCTCGTCACATTGTGACGGACAAGCCTACACCTCGTCACATTGTGAGGGACAAGCCTACATCTCTTCACATTGTGACGGACAAGCCTACATCTCGTCACATTGTGACGGACAAGTCTACACCTCGTCACATTGTGACGGACAAGTCTACACATCGTCCCATTGTGACGGACAAGTCTACACATCGTCCCATTGTGACGGACAAGTCTACACATCTTCCCATTGTGACGGACAAGTCTACACATCTTCCCATTGTGACGGACAAGTCTACACATCGTCCCATTGTGACTGACAAGTCTACACCTCGTCACATTGTGACGGACAAGTCTACACATCTTCCCATTGTGACTGACAAGTCTACACATCGTCACCTTGTGACGGACAAGTCTATACCTCGTCACATAGTGACAGGAAAATGTCAATAAATGATTAGACGTACATTCGCAGGCTATCACAGTCTTACGCAGTGCTTCCCAAGCCGTTCCTGTTGGTTACACACTTGTTAACATCCATGCTTTCATGAAGTCAGCTTTACTTGTAAACCAGGTTTGAAACTATTCCATTTTAAGACATGCGGTCAGAAACACCTATTATAAATAGGCTTACCGTAATTTTAAGGGTTGAAACCGACTTTTGGAGCAGATATCACAATTTGCGTACCTGGGGAAGGTGGCGAAACGCGACCATAACAAGCGGCACTTTTTATTAATATTTTATACCTTCTTTATATAACGGTAATGAGAGTGAAGCAAAATACGTGCAAGTGTTTTAAAACACTAATTTTGTCCTGATGACATCAGAGGATTCGCGTAATTACATTATGACGATGACGTAGTCTTCGCAGGATGACATCACAAGGTCTGGGATTTTTCTTCGGGTGTACAGCCTAATACTCTATAAAGACAGCAAGTGGCCTCTCTCCGGCACCTGGATAACACACAAGAAACATGCTAGGTGGATGATACCTGTAGCGTCGCAAGAGTTGTCGTATCTTCATTGTGTCAATGTGAGCCACTTAAGCTCTTAAAACTCAAGGTTATAATTCAGAGTTTTCTTCTCCTAGATGAGTTTGTCGTTCAAGGTTAACGGGTCAAGGCCAACGTGACGCATCAACCGGTTGATATTTTAGCTTGACCGTATCTTTTGTCGGTTGTGAACTCCAGATCTCAGGCTTGGGGGTTAACGCTAAATGAGTTTTGACAGCTGGACACTAATTTTGAGATGAAATTACGGTTACATGTGTTGGGTACTGTACCATACTTACATGTGTTGGGTACTGTACCATACTTACATGTGTTGGGTACTGTACCATACTTACATGTGTTGGGTACTGTACCATACTTACATGTGTTGGGTACTGTACCATACTTACATATGTTGGGTACTGTACCATACTTACATGTGTTGGGTACTGTACCATACTTACATGTGTTGGGTACTGTACCATACTTACATTTGTTGGGTACTGTACCATATTACATTTGTTGGGTACTGTACCATACTTACATATGTTGGGTACTGTACCATACTTACATTTGTTGGGTACTGTAACATACTTACATTTGTTGGGTACTGTACCATACTTACATTTGTTGGGTACTGTACCATACTTACATTTGTTGGATACTGTACCATACTTACATGTGTTGGGTACTGTACCATACTTACATGTGTTGGGTACTGTACCATACTTACATGTGTTGGGTACTGTACCATACTTACATATGTTGGGTACTGTACCATACTTACATGTGTTGGGTACTGTACCATACTTACATGTGTTGGGTACTGTACCATACTTACATTTGTTGGGTACTGTACCATATTACATTTGTTGGGTACTGTACCATACTTACATATGTTGGGTACTGTACCATACTTACATTTGTTGGGTACTGTAACATACTTACATTTGTTGGGTACTGTACCATACTTACATTTGTTGGGTACTGTACCATACTTACATTTGTTGGATACTGTACCATATTACATTTGTTGGGTACTGTACCATACTTACATTTGTTGGGTACTGTACCATACTTACATTTGTTGGGTACTGTACCATACTTACATTTGTTGGGTACTGTACCATACTTACATTTGTTGGATACTGTACCATATTACATTAGTTGGGTACTGTACCATACTTACATTTGTTGGGTACTGTACCATACTTACATTTGTTGGGTACTGTACCATATTACATTTGTTGGGTAATGTACCATATTACATTTGTTGGGTACTGTACCATACTTACATTTGTTGGGTACAGTACCATACTTACATTTGTTGGATACTGTACCATATTACATTTGTTGGGTACTGTACCATATTACATTTGTTGGGTACTGTACCATATTACATTTGTTGGGTACTGTACCATATTTCATTTGTTGGGTACTGTACCATATTACATTTGTTGGGTACTGTACCATACTTACATGTGTTGGGTACTGTACCATACTTACATTTGTTGGGTACTGTACCATATTACATTTGTTGGGTACTGTACCATATTACATTTGTATGGTACTGTACCATACTTACATGTGTTGGGTACTGTACCATGTTACATTTGTTGGGTACTGTACCATACTTACATTTGTTGGGTACTGTACCATACTTACATTTGTTGGGTACTGTAGCATACTTACATTTGTTGGGTACTGTACCATACTTACATGTGTTGGGTACTGTACCACACTTACATGTGTTGGATACTGTACCATTCTTACATTTGTTGGGTACTGTACCATACTTACATTTGTTGGGTACTGTACTATACTTGCATTTGTTGGGTACTGTACCATACTTGCATTTGTTGGGTACTGTACCATACTTACATTTGTTGGGTACTGTACCATTCTTACATTTGTTGGGTACTGTAGCATACTTACATTTTCAAGGATATCTCATCAAACTAATCACGGGGACCAATCTTTGCATTCACGAATAGAAAATGGGAATCTCGCTTTCCTTTAGACTTATCTCCAATCAAAACAGACCCTCCTATTAGTTGATGACAAATTTATTTGAACTTCGTTGATCTCAAATATTATAGACACCAGATATTCTTTTCTTGTTAAGAAACTTTTTATTTTAATGAGAAAATCGGCAATTTTTACAAAGATATCTTTAACACTATAAAAGTCAAAATCTTTGCACCATAGATAATCTTTTTCGGAAGTATCACTAGTTTCTCTATTGGAGACGCTGGGGGAACTGGTACAATTTGCCCAATGAACATTTAAAAGAGAAGAATGCAAGATATAAGGCAAAACTGTTTAAAACCATAAAATGCATCCAACAACGTCAAATTACAATTAAATGACTTAGGCTATTTTAAAGCAATACAATAGTGGATATAGCTTTAAATAGTGGATACAGCGTAAAATTTTGAATATAGCGTAACATTGTGGATACATATCGTAAAATGGAGGAAATAGCTTAAAATAGGAGATATAGCGAAAGATAAGGAATATAGCGTAAACCAGCATGAGTTTAACATATGTTCGGCTTATTTGATAACTTAAAGTGTGTGCATGCTTAAATGGCTTATTTTCGAGTGATACACTGACACCCTACAAGCGACACACTGACACCCTACAAGCGACACACTGACACCCTACAAGCGACACACTGACACCCTACAAGCGACACGATGACACCCTACAAGCGACACACTACTGTATCTTGAGACACAGTTTAGAAAGCACTCGTCTAACGTAAAACACATTAAGACAAACTAACAGGGAGTATCACAGACTATCGCAGACTAGCATGGAGTATCACAGACTATCGCAGACTAGCATGGAGTATCACAGACTAGCATAGAGTATCACAGACTATCGCTGTAATTTTTCCTGATACTAACCAGCAAATGTAAAGGACGATAGCCGTGTTCTTTCTATAGGTGGCGCCCACCGTCCCCAAAGGGTGTGCATACTTGGAAAAGCGGCGCCCTAGCAAGTATAAAGATTCAATTTGGCGAGTTATTTATTTCATAAATGTAAGTTCCTTATTGAATATATGGCTAGTACACTTATTGCATATATGGCTAGTACACTTATTGCACAAATGGCTCGTACACATATTGTAAATATGAGTAGTACGCCTATTGTACATATGGCTAGTACACCTATCGTACATTTGTCTAGTGCACCTATTGTACTTATGGCTAGTTCAAAGTCTTCATATAAGATTGTATTACAAACAAAACTCACAGAGACTTACAGCAGAGCAAAAGATGGATAAATGGAATTGATAAGATGACTGTAGGCTTATTATCGTATTATCGTATTACCGTAGCTTTATAGTAGGCTAATCGTAGGTTTATGGTAGGCTAATCGTAGGCTTATAGTTGGCTCACCGCAGATTTATCGTATGTTTATCGTAAGACATAATTTAAAGTGTGGACACCAAGTGAGAGTTTGAAGCAATGCTAAATGGTTTGTGTCAAAATTTGCGTTCAGAGAGTTTGGCGAATATCCTGCTTGACATCACAAGTTCAATCGTTTATTCAATCACAATTTCTTTGACATATCTAACTTGAAACTTGTTTTCTAAAACACAGAACACCACCTTATGCTCTTCCCAAACTCAACTTAATGTTCTCAACAAAATTTCTCATAAATCCTGTCTAACACCTCCTAGTTGTCTCCCTTTAACGTACAGCTTTCGCCTGGAACATACCTCTGTGACCCCCATCAGAATTCTTAGAGCGAGCACGCCCCTGTAGTCCCACCTCGCCGCTACAGGAACCAACAGGGTAAAGACAGCTGTCAGGCCGACCCCAGTACCAAGAACCTTCTTGCCTCCAAACCTGCCAGCCAGCCAACCCCCTACAACTTGGGTTGTTATGTAGCCGTAGAAAAATGAGGACAGCATCAGAGACGTAGTGGACTTGTCCCAGTCAAACTCTCCGCTCTGTGGACATGTGAGTGCGTGGCCAGGAAGACATAAATAGACACAATTCAAGGAAATATTAAAATATCGTTAAACATTTCAAAATAAATACCGAACACACAGACAATAGAAGTTTTTTCTTTTTAAAAATCGTTTAAAATTAAATATTGCTAACTACAACCCCTAAACAGCCTGGACACGATTCCTGGTCAAGTGCTGTTTCAGTGAGGTGAAGTAATGTGCTGGATTTTGTCAAACTACAAAACTGTACGAAATGTTTAAATACATTAGAGCAAAGTTTCGTAACCAGAGGTATCCACGCCCATGGGCGGTACGGTAGGCCATGTCAAAGAAGTATCCACGCCCATGGGCGGTGTGGTAGGCCGTGTCAGAGGTGCATGAAGACCCATAAGGTAATGTTTATTGACATTTTAATTAGAATTCGATAATGTGTTGAGGGTGAGAAATATGTTTTGAAATCGAGAAAGGTTGCGAGAAATGTTTCGTAATCAAGGAAAAAAACGGATGTGTGTGTAAAAGGGGGGGGGGGGAGGGGTCAGAATCTCTGCGTGAGGGAGAAATTACCCAACCAAGCTCAGATTTAGTGAATTGGATGTGACACATAGCTAACAAGTGTAGAGATAATGTTGTAAACCAAGCCCAGATTTATGTGACACATAGCTAACAAGTGTAGAGATAATGTTGTCAACCAAGCTCAGATTTAGTGAATTGGATGTGACACATAGCTAACAAGTGTAGAGATAATGTTGTCAACCAAGCTCAGATTTAGTGAATTGGATGTGACACATAGCTAACAAGTGTAGAGATAATGTTGTCAACCAAGCTCAGATTTAGTGAATTGGATGTGACACATAGCTAACAAGTGTAGAGATAATGTTGTCAACCAAGCTCAGATTTAGTGAATTAGACGATTAATAAGACAGCATTAATTTCTATCATTGATGGGTATACAACCTTAGATCATTCAAAATGAAATCCATGACGTCAAATGAATCATAAATACAATTTCGACAAAACACACAGATATTTATTTTTTTCCTTTATGGATGCAAACATATCCATATACACGTGTGAAATAAATTCAATTAGTTTCGTGTTAGATGAATATCCATCGCTGGCTGTTACATTTATTGATTGCTTTCAAACTGAGCGGTAGCTTTAAGTCTTGTTTCATCATAAAGTGACTTTGACTCATGCCTTTCTAAATATCCATGTTTAAACATAAAACATATTTGGTCCTCGCATCAACTACAAACCTGCGCCTTATCATCGGTAGAAGACTCATAGATGCACGTGCCATGGCTGCTGTCGTTTGTAGTGTTGGTTTTGTTGGCATATTCTCGCACCATACATACAATGCCAACACTAATATTGACACGCAGAGAGTAGATGAAGAAGAATCCAACCATTCCAACGTAGGCAACAGTCCATCTTTTGGAACACAGAAGTGGAACTGAAATGATTGATTAATAAATGATGGGTACGGAATATATAGCATGGTAACAGAGGCGTATCGTGAGCAAAGTAACCGCTACGACTAGAAGGACTTCGGAGATTTCAGGGGTCCAAAGTTAAAAATTTTAAAATGTGGAAAAACATTTAAAATATTAAATTTGACTTGGTTGGGTGGGGGGGGGGGGACAAACCCGACGAAGATTTGCCAGGGAGCCTCAATAAGTTTTACAACGGCTCTACAGAAAAGATTGGAATCGACGAAAACACTTTTAGGAGTGCTTCTCGGTTCGGTAACAACTTAATTTCGATTCCGCTACCTCTGAAGATTTGTCCATTCGATGATTATCGCTATTTGAAATTAGTTTATTTATGATTTAAATAATATATATATAAATAAATATACTACCCTGACTGATTCCCCTCCTCTGACCGATAAACGATCTTGCTGGCTGCCGTCCATGGTTTCCCTTGTAAAAGTTATGGGGTGGGGTGGGTGAATATACATTGCTGTTCTTTATTTCATAAATCTATTTTATTTTAATGTCATGATTATGTCTCTTTTGATAAAATTTTTATGTACAGCGTGGTGAGCCCAGCCCTAGGCGGGGTACCGCGCTATATAAGACCTCTTATTATTATTATTATATATATATATATAAACATAAGGTTATACTCATGGGCGACCTAAATGCGAAAATAGGCAGCAACAATAAAGGCTATGAAGAATGCATGGGAACACATGGTATGGGAGAGATGAATGAAAATGGTGAAAGACTAGCAGATCTATGTGCTACAATTGGACTAGTCATCGGAGGAAGCCTCTTCATGCATAGAAATATCCACAAGGCCACATGGATTTCACCAGATATGTCAACGGCTAACCAAATTGACCATTTCTGTATTTGCAATAAGTTTAGACGGTCGCTCCAAGATGTTAGGGTAAAAAGAGGGGCAGATGTAGCCTCAGACCATCATCTAATTATTGCCAAATTAAGGCTGAAACTGAAAAAGAACTGGACAAGCGAGGGAAGCAAGCGCCAACATTTTAACATCAACCTCTTGAAAGATGAGTCCAAGCTAAAGGAGTTTAAACTTACCATCTCCAATAAGTTCCAGATCTTACAGGAACTAGGCAATGAAGAAACAATTGACAAAAACTGGAAAGAAATCAAAGAGATATTCACGACTACCTGTGAAGAAGTGTTGGGCCCTAGGCAACAAACGCATAAAGAATGGATTTCGGCTGAAACCATGGAAAAAATCCAATATAGGAGAAAGAAGAAGGCAAATCTAAACAATAGCCGCACCAGAACCGAAAAGGCCAGAGCATCAACAGAATACTCAGAAGCAAATAAAGAAGTTAAACGTAGTATAAGGACAGATAAAAAGAACTACATAGAAGGATTAGCAAGTGAAGCAGAGGAGGCTGCGTACCATGGAAACACAAGAGAATTATTCAGTACAATCAAAAAGTTATCTGGAAAGTTCAACAATCCAGTGAGACCAGTTAAAACTAAAGATGGGAAATCAATACCTGATGAAGAGGGTCAGAAAAAAAGATGGATAGAACATTTTGAAGAACTCCTCAACCGGCCAGCACCACAACACACACTCAACATAGAGCCAGCGGAAAAAGATCTAGAAATAGAGTGCAGCACACCCACAAAGCAAGAAATATGCAGAGCAATTAAACAACTAAAGAAAGGCAAGGCGGCAGGTCCAGACAGAATACCGACAGAAGCCTTGATAGCAGATATTACGTCTAGCACTGAAATGCTACACACACTATTCAAGAAAATATGGGAGGAGGAACAGATACCGGCTGAATGGAAAGAAGGACACCTCGTTAAGCTCCCGAAGAAAGGAGACCTTAGTTCTTGTTCTAACTATAGGGGAATAACCCTGCTGTCGATCCCAAGCAAAGTATTCAACAGAATGCTGCTAAACAGAATGAGGGAGGCAATAGACATCAATCTTAGGGACCAACAAGCAGGGTTCAGAAAAGACAGATCCTGCACAGACCAGATTGCCACACTGAGAATTATTGTGGAACAATCTCTGGAGTGGAACTCGTCACTATACGTCAACTTCATTGACTATGAGAAGGCTTTTGACAGTGTCGACAGACAGACTCTGTGGAAGCTGCTTAGACACTACGGGGTACCACAAAAATTGACAGACATAATTAAGGCTTCTTACGAAGGACTATCGTGCAGAATTGTCCACGGCCAGCAAACAACGGCGGCTTTTGAGGTACAGACCGGTGTCAGACAGGGGTGTCTGCTCTCGCCTTTCCTATTCCTGCTGACCATTGATTGGATAATGAAAATGTCTACAGAGCAGAAGAGAAATGGTATTCAGTGGACACTATGGAAACAACTTGATGACCTGGATTTTGCGGATGATCTGGCCCTAGTATCACACACACAGCAACAGATGCAAGAGAAAACCAATTATGTAGCACAGTACTCTGCTTGCATCGGCCTGAACATCCACAGAGGAAAAAGCAAAGTCCTTAAAATAAATACATCAAGCAACACACCTATAGCACTGGAAGGAACAAACCTTGAGGAGGTGGATAGCTTTACATACCTCGGCAGCATCATTGACATACAAGGAGGGACAGACGCCGACATAAGAGTGAGAGTTGGTAAGGCAAGAGCGGCATTTAACCAGCTAAAAAAGGTCTGGAGCTGCAGCAATTTGACCCTCCAGACCAAGGTCAAGGTATTCAACACCACAGTGAAACCTGTCTTGCTATATGGGGCAGAAACATGGCGAACAACAGCAGCTGGTTCAAAAAAGCTACAGACCTTTATCAACTCATGTCTCCGAACGATTTTACGAATCCGCTGGCCCACCGTCATCACCAACGAGGATCTCTGGCGGCGCACACAACAAGAACCAGTGGAAGAGTTAATCTGCCAGCGCAGATGGAGATGGATTGGCCACACCCTCAGAAAGCCCGCATCAAGTATCACGAGACAAGCCCTGACTTGGAACCCCCAGGGTAAGAGAAAAAGAGGTCGACCCAAAACAACTTGGAGAAGGGAACTGGAGGCAGACATCAAAAAGAGTGGGCACAACTGGGGACAGTTGGAGAGACTTGCCCAAGACCGGGATGCCTGGAGAGCCTTTGTTTGTGGCCTATGCCCCAGACGGGACGACAGGCGATGATGATGATGATGATAAACATAAGCTTTTATATAGCGATGCACTTTCTTTAGCCACAATATAAAGTCCGGATTTATATAACTAAAAATGAATACGGAGGTTGCTAAAGTTTAATGAAACGATAGGAAAACATACATTTGTATTTGGTTTCTTTCTTTTATGATCTTTTTAAAGGGGGATGCATATCTCTTATGTAATTTAGGCAATGGGTCTGCCAGCTTCAAATGGCATATATCTAATGTCATTTAGGCAATGAGTCTGCAAGCTTCAAATGGCATATATCTAATGTCATTTAGGCAATGGGTCTGCAAGCTTCAAATGGCATATATCTAATGTCATTTAGGCAATGGGTCTACAAGCTTCAAATGGCATATATCTAATGGCATTTAGGCAATGGGTCTGCAAGCTTCAAATGGCATATATCTAGTGTCATTTAGGAAATGGATCTGCACGCTTCAAATGGCATATATCTAATGTCATAAGGGCAATGGGTCTGCAAGCTTCAAATGGCATATATCTACTATCATTTAGGCAATGGGTCTGCAAGCTTCAAATGACACATATCTAATGTCATTTAGGCAATGGGTCTGCAAGCTTCAAATGGCATATATCTAATGTCATTTAGGCAATGGGTCTGCAAGCTTCAAATGGCATATATCTAATGTCATTTAGGCAATGGGTTTGGAAGCTTCAAATGGCACATATCTAATGTCATTTAGGAAATGGGTTTGGAAGCTTCAAATGGCATATATCTAGTGTCATTTAGGAAATGGATCTGCAAGCTTCAAATGGCATATATCTAATGTCATTTAGGCAATGAGTCTGCAAGCTTCAAATGGCATATATCTAATGTCATTTAGGCAATGGGTCTGGTTCGAAGTTTACCGTATATAGATTACAGATTTAGGCAATGAGTCTGCAAGCTTCAAATGGCATATATCTAATGTCATTTAGGCAATGGGTCTGCAAGCTTCAAATGGCATATATCTAATGTCATTTAGGCAATGGGTCTGCAAGCTTCAAATGGCATATATCTAATGTCATTTAGGCAATGAGTCTGCAAGCTTCAAATGGCATATATCTAATGTCATTTAGGCAATGGGTCTGCAAGCTTCAAATGGCATATATCTAATGTCATTTAGGCAATGGGTCTGCAAGCTTCAAATGGCACATATCTAATGTCATTTAGGCAATGGGTCTGCAAGCTTCAAATGGCATATATCTAGTGTCATTTAGGCAATGGGTCTGCAAGCTTCAAATGGCATATATCTAATGTCATTTAGGCAATGAGTCTGCAAGCTTCAAATGGCATATATCTAATGTCATTTAGGCAATGGGTCTGCAAGCTTCAAATGGCATATATCTAATGTCATTTAGGCAATGGGTCTACAAGCTTCAAATGGCATATATCTAATGTCATTTAGGCAATGGGTCTGCAAGCTTCAAATGGCATATATCTAGTGTCATTTAGGCAATGGGTTTGGAAGCTTCAAATGGCACATATCTAATGTCATTTAGGAAATGGGTTTGGAAGCTTCAAATGGCATATATCTAGTGTCATTTAGGAAATGGATCTGCAAGCTTCAAATGGCATATATCTAATGTCATTTAGGCAATGAGTCTGCAAGCTTCAAATGGCATATATCTAATGTCATTTAGGCAATGGGTCTGCAAGCTTCAAATGGCATATATCTAATGTCATTTAGGCAATGGGTCTACAAGCTTCAAATGGCATATATCTAATGTCATTTAGGCAATGAGTCTGCAAGCTTCAAATGGCATATATCTAATGTCATTTAGGCAATGGGTCTGCAAGCTTCAAATGGCATATATCTAATGTCATTTAGGCAATGGGTCTACAAGCTTCAAATGGCATATATCTAATGGCATTTAGGCAATGGGTCTGCAAGCTTCAAATGGCATATATCTAGTGTCATTTAGGAAATGGATCTGCACGCTTCAAATGGCATATATCTAATGTCATAAGGGCAATGGGTCTGCAAGCTTCAAATGGCATACATCTAATATCATTTAGGCAATGGGTCTGCAAGCTTCAAATGACACATATCTAATGTAATTTAGGCAATGGGTCTGCAAGCCTCAAATGGCACATATCTAATGTCATTTAGCCAAACTCAATAACATATTTCTTGAATCTCAATTAAGGAATTGATCAATAGGGCGAGAGCGTACATTGAAGATGTCGGATCGTTAAATCCAGGGATACCTAGCAAAAGACAAGTCACACAGTGGGCTACTGGGCCACATTTTCTGCCGAAGACTATCACGATGAACCGTACGAACCTTTCTCAGTCCTCTTATGTTCGACCGGTTCGCTCACGACGAAGGTCATATTGAAGTTCACGGGGACAAAATTGTTAAGCGGTTTTGATCAATTAGTGTACGAGTTCCTGTGAGTCAACACGACTATTGTGACACTGCCACTGACAGTGATGATAACACTGTCACCGACAGTGATGATAAGTAATCCAAAACTGCTGAGACATTCTTTAGAGGAATTTACTTTTTCTTACGATATAAAAAAAAACTTCTCTCTCTTGCTTGATCCGTTATTTGTTACTTATTTTTTAAACTCTAAACGCAAATGAAATCGTAACATGTAAACATGGCCATGAAAAAATCTAATACATTTGGTTGTTGTTTCACACAAATGATGTTAAAGGTACGCCATCGCGCTCAAGAAAGTCCAAAAATGTTATAAGTAAATGTTTGAGTCAGGTGATTAGCTAACACGACTGTTTGCTGTGTCCATAAGTGAAATATGAGACTTGAGATAATTACATTTGACATCTACAACGATTGCAGTCAAGTATATCAAGATAAGACAAACAGTGGGCTCATAAAAAAAAAAATCACATCACATCGTCATGGTTTAAGAAAGTCATATCTTTTCAGCACAAGTGAATGAGATACATATTAGGGTAAACATTTGTAACCCCGTTGTGATTGAGAAACTTGAGAAGTACTTGATCACACCTACCGAAATTGTTCGGTTGAATCTCTGTTATGGAATCACAAAATTATTTGAGAGTATCACAACTGGTTATTAACGGTTATTCTGGTTACTAACAGTTATTTGTACCATACGTCATGCTGTAACGCAGCCCGGGGTAGGGGTTGTATAATTGTAAAAACTCAACAAGTGCCCTTTGTCTGGGCCTATTATTAACAAATGCCCTTTGTCTGGACCTATTATTAACAAATGCCCTTTGTCTGGGCCTATTATTAACAAATGCCCTTTGTCTGGGCCTATTATTGGAATAGCTTTAAAAGATGAATTCATCTTGCCACGTGACCTAATTAAATCTAGGGTAAGCTTTTTAACAATTAATTCAATTAGTATAATTTAAACAATTTTTGAAGCAATTACGTTTATATCATTTCTATTAGAACAATTACCCAGTTGCAAGCATACTAAAGGAGCTATGAAAACAGGATGGCTATGATAATAAGATGGTTATGATAACAAGATGGTTATGATAACAAGATGGTTATGATAACAAGATGGCTATGATAACAAGATGGCTATGATAACAAGATGGCTATGATAACAAGATGGCTATGATAACAAGATGGCTATGATAATAAGATGGCTATGATAACAAGATGGTTATGATAACAAGATGGTTATGATAACAAGATGGTTATGATAACAAGATGGCTATGATAACAAGATGGCTATGATAACAAGATGGCTATGATAACAAGATGGTTATGATAACAAGATGGCAATGATAACAAGATGGCTATGATAACAAGATGGCTATGATAACAAGATGGCTATGATAACAAGATGTCTATGATAACAAGATGGTTATGATAACAAGATGGTTATGATAACAATATGGCTATGATAACAAGATGGCCATGATAACTAGATGGCTCTGATAAAAGATGGTTATGACAACAAAATGGTTATGATAACAAGATGGTTATGATAACAAGATGGCTATGATAACAAGATGGCTATGATAACAAGATGGCTATGATAACAAGATGGTTATGATAACAAGCTGGTTATGATAACAAGATGGTTATGATAACAAGATGGCAATGATAACAAGATGGCTATGATAACAAGATGGCTATGATAACAAGATGGCTATGATAACAAGATGGCTATGATAACAAGATGGTTATGATAACAAGATGGTTATGATAACAATATGGCTATGATAACAAGATGGCAATGATAACAAGATGGTTATGATAACAAGATGGCTATGATAACAAGATGGTTATGATAACAATATGGCTATGATAACAAGATGGCAATGATAACAAGATGGTTATGATAACAAGATGGTTATGATAACAAGATTGTTATGATAACAAGATGTCAATGATAACAAGATGGCTATGATAAAAAGATGGCTATGATAACAAGATGGCTATGATAACAAGATGTCTATGATAACAAGATGGTTATGATAACAAGATGGTTATGATAACAATATGGCTATGATAACAAGATGGCAATGATAACAAGATGGTTATGATAACAAGATGGCTATGATAACAAGATGGTTATGATAACAAAATGGCTATGATAACAAGATAGCTATGATAACAAGATGGCTATGATAACAAGATGGTCATGATAACAAGATGGTTATGATAACAAGATGGCTTTGATAACAAGATGGCTATGATAACAAGATGGTCATGATAACAAGATGGCTATGATAACAAGATGGCTATGATAACAAGATGGCTATGATAACAAGATGGTCATGATAACAAGATGGTTATGATAACAAGATGGCTTTGATAATAAGATGGCTATGATAACAAGATGGCTATGATAACAAGATGGTTATGATAACAAGATGGCAATGATAACAAGATTGCTATGACAACAAGATAGCTATGATAACAAGATGGTTATGATAACAAGATGGTTATGATAACAATATGGCTATGATAACAAGATGGCAATGATAACAAGATGGTTATGATAACAAGATGGCTATGATAACAAGATGGTTATGATAACAAGATGGCTATGATAACAAGATGGCTATGATAACAAGATGGCTATGATAACAAGATGGTCATGATAACAAGATGGTTATGATAACAATATGGCTATGATAACAAGATGGCTATGATAACAAGATGTCTATGATAACAAGATGTTTATGATAACAAGATGGTTATGATATAAATATGGCTATGATAACAAGATGGCTATGATAACAAGATGTTTATGATAACAAGATGGTTATGATAACAAGATGGCTATGAGCGTTGATACAAAATGGAGTCTTGATTAACTCTTAAGGTTTCTTCCGTTACGACAACGACGCATGATCTTGTCAGCATGAGGTCGTCAGCATGAGGTGATCAGTAGAACCTTCACTGTGCATGAAGTGGTCAGCATGAGGTGGTCAGCATGAGGTGGTAAGCATGAGGTGGTCAGCATGAGGTGGTCAGCATGAGGTGGTCAGATGGAGGTGGTCAGCATGAGGTGGTCAAGAGAACCTTCACTGTGCCTGAGGTGGTCAGTAGAACCCTCACTGAGCATGAGGTGGTCAGTAGAACCTTCATAACATAGGTGATAATCTCATTACTGCATAACTGCTTTTTTTTTTCCTTTTATAATGACTATACTTATAAGTGGCGCCAAAGTTAAGCTTGCACAGGGAGCCAGCAACCGCCGGGCGGCTGACCCTGCTGGAAAAGTAAACTAATGCCTTCTAAATCCAATGCTTTGATACGGTCTAAGAAGGCTATGTCAGGTTTATGTAGGCTAAGCCAGGACTATGAAGGCTAAACCAGATCTATGTAGGCTTAGCCAGGTCTATGTAGGCTAAGCCAGGACTATGAAGGCTATGTCAGGTCTATGTAGGCTAACCCAGGACTATGAAGGCTAAGCCAGATTTATGTAGGGTAAGCCAGGACTATGTAGGCTAAGCCAGATTTAAGTAGGCTAAGCCAGGACTATGAAGGCTAAGCCAGATTTATGTAGTCTAAGCCAGGACTATGAAGGCTAAGCCAGATTTATGTAGGCTAAGCCAGGACTATGAAGGCTAAGCCATATTTATTTAGGCTAAGCCAGGACTATGAAGACTAAGCCAGATTTATGTAGGCTAGGCAAGGACTATGAAGGCTAAGCCAGATTTATGTAGGCTAAGCCAGGACTATGTAGGCTATGTAAGGTCTATTTAGGCTAAGCCAGGACTTTGTAGGCTATGTCAGGTATATTCAGGCTAAACCATGACTATGAATGCTAAGCCAGATTTATGTAGGCTAAGCCAGGACTATGAAGGCTAAGCCAGATTTATGTAGGCTAAGCCAGGACTATGAAGGCTAAGCCAGATTTATGTAGGCTAAGCCAGGACTATGAAGGCTAAGCCATGACTATGTAGGCTAAGCCAGGACTATGTAGGCTAAGCCAGGACTATGTAGGCTAAGCCAGGACTATGTAGGCTAAGCTAGGACTATGAAGGCTAAGCCAGGACTATGAAGGCTAAGCCAGATTTATGTAGGCTAAGCCAGGACCATGTAGGCTAAGGTAGATCTATGTAGGCTAAGCCAGGACATATGTAGGCTAAGCCAGGACTATTTAGGCTAAGCCAGGACTATGAAGGCTGAGCCAGATCTATGTAGGTTAAGCCAGGACTATGAAGGCTAAGCCTGATCTATGAAGCTAAGCCAGGACTATGAAGGCTAAGCCAGGACTATGAAGGCTGAGCCAGATCTATGTAGGTTAAGCCAGGACTATGAAGGCTGAGCCAGGACTATGTTGGCTAAGCCAGGACTATGTAGGCTATGTCAGGTCTTTGTAAGTGGAGATATTGCTAATAAATCGTTGTCTAATTCACTGAAAATATTAAGTTAGAGTTTGCTGTAACAATGAGTTACTTGGTTGGGTAGACACTTTAAGAAAACAATTTGAGAACCACTAAAGTAGTTTGACAGCAACTTTCTTATTCAACTTTTTTAAACATTTGAAGTTCAGAAACGGATATCAGAAGTTCAAATGTCAAATGTGTCCAGTTCCCTTGTTGAAGTGTAATTGATAACATTGTAGTTATCTTCCTCAAGAACTTTGGGAGAATCGTGTTTAGAGTTAAGATTGGCTAAATTGACTTGTGGTTGGGTACATGGGCTGTTTTTTTGTATAGTAGCCTCTGGTCAGTATGCCACTGGTCAATATGCCTCTGGTCAGTGCACCTCTGGTCAGTGTGCCTCTGGTCAAGGCACCTCCGGTCAGTGAGCCTCTGGTCAGTGCGCCTCTGGTCAGTGAGCCTCTGGTCAGTGAGCCTCTGGTCATTGAGCCTCTTGTCAGTAAGCCTCTGGTCAGTGCGCCTCTGGTCAGTGAGCCTCTGGTCAGTGAGCCTCTGGTCAGTGAGCCTCAGGTCAGTTCGCCTCTGGTACAGTTATTGCGCCTCTGGTAAGGTCATTGGGCCTCTGGTTGTTTATTTTGGCCTCTGGTTAGGTCTAAGGACATTTGGTTTGGTCTATTGGCATATGGTTGTATCTCTTGTGCCCTAGTTAAGGTTCATGGACCCTGTTTGGTCTACTGGCATCTGTTAAGTTCTATCGTCTTCTGTTTGAATGCTTAGCCACTAGTAGGGTCTATCTGTCCCTGTTGGGATCAGGCACATAATTGAAATTAATCAAGTTTAAAATATGTATTCTGTCCACCTTCAAACACCAAGATGGGATTTTATTGGAAATACCGAGATAAAATGGGTTGTCCTTAATAATTTTATTCTGGAAGGTCATGTACGCCATTCTATTTGCTTTATCAGATACAAGTCAATTATGTGGATTAGGAATTTTCGCCTTGTTTTCGACCTCCTTGATTATCAAAAGCAACATTGTAGCTACGGATGAAACCCTTCAAAACTCTTTACCTGCTATTATCTGCTGTTTCCTCATTATCAGAAATACTTGTCCTATAAATCGTACATGCAGTATTTTTTTTTAGTGTGAGACCCTGGGGTGGGATAGGTTGGGGGTTAAAATAGCAGTGCGATTTGAATAATTTTTTATTTGGTCATTTTAGAGTGTATAGAACTGTATGATAATTTGTGGTCCATTAATGACCTCAAGTTAATCTCAACGAAACGATAGCACTACCGACATCTTCACTGTTAGTCTCGTCTTGATCAATCTTAAATTTCGTCCCAACCTCGGATTATCGCCTGACCATTGAAAATATGAAAATATGATGTACTAAATTTTTTTGGCTAGATTTAGACAGGGGTCGCAAACTCATAATATACGGGCGCCGCAGGAAGTAGGGTGTGAGTGAGACTGGGCCGCATCAAGTGTTCTACAAAAAAAGTGATTAAAAATCAAAAAAGTACAACTGTTACAATCTGCTCAAACTTTATTATTAATAACAGATAAAAACATTAAGGTTTCAATTTCTTCCTCCTACTCCTTGTTGCCAGAGACCTTACAGCGCTTCTTCTTGCACAGCTGAAAAACATTTGGCTTGACAGAGTAAGCAACTGAGACCCTCGGTATAGTTTGAAGAAACTCATCAGTAAGTTTGTCCCTGAACTTTGACTTGTTAAAGTTCATAGTAGAAAAGAGCTTTTCACACAGATGATCACTCCCAAAAAGGCTCATGATCCGCTTGAACAAACTGGAAATCTCAGGGAAGGTGTGGGGCAATACTCTCATAAATTGTCCATGCTTGTCTGTTTTTTCATTCACTTCCCTGAACTTAGAAGTGCACTGAAGATCAACCAGCTCCATTTGAAGCGGAAGTAAAGGGCGGGGGGGTGGGGGTGGGGGTGGACATCTTGCACATTAAAGGAGAAAGGTTCAGCAAAAGGTCGAAAAGTGGTTCTGTGTGTTTTGTAGTCTGCAAACATTTGATCTAATTTAGCTTTGCAATAGCATCAGGATACTCTCTACTGAATGGTATGCCCGAGTCCATGCGTACTTTGCATGTTGGGAAATGGCAGAGATTTCTCTAATAATCATAAAACAGGTTTAGTGCAGAATGCCATGAAATTGTCATAGGCAACACTTACAAGCTACCCTTGATCTTGTAACTTCTTGTTGAGTACATTCAGCTCCTGTGTTGTGTAAACGAGAAAAGCTATGTCCATGAGCCATTTGGAATAACTTAGTACAGGAATAACTACTCCATTCTTATCCATAGACGCTTTGAAGGCTAAAACGTCTTCAAGCTGTAGGCACGAGCAGGCAATATTTATCATTATTGATGCGAAGTAAGATGCTATTGTACAAATTGTATGGATAATGAATTTTGATTTTTTATCGTAGAAAAGGCCTTTTTGACTAACCCTATTTTATACCTGACCAAGCTGAAAGGCTCGGAATTTCCTTCACTCGTAAACACTAGCGGCAATTTTAATAGGGATTCTTTGACACTCTGTCAGATTGCTACAATTTACACAATTATGGTTTGACCCACTAGCTGACTTTTGATATATGTATATACAATATTCGAAGCGTGTTTTCTCAAAACTTATCTTTGGCCATCTTTGTCACATAAAATGCCATAATATAAAAACTTTTAGTCCAATTATGAAACGTTTTTACCATTATAATCAACGTTCAAACCAATACAAACATATAAAAATCAGAATTAGACGAGTCGGTGAGGTTTAACTGAAACCGTCTTGGAGGGTCACATTACAGATTCAAGAACGAGGAAAACGCACGGGCCACGTTAACACAAAACTTTTCTGTCATGTAGCGGGCTGCAACAATATAGTCTTGCGGGCCGCAAATGGCCCACGGACCACGAGTTTGAGACCCCTGATTTAGAATGTTAAGAAAAGTGCTAATTCTTCAAACATCCAGAACTTACCATCGGCAGCAATCTGCTGTTATACTTAAGCTCTAACAAGACAAATTTGCTGATAAATTTTAAGCGACGCAACAAATGAACTGGATGGTAACAATGATGGTATCAAATTTATTTTTAGTAAATATAATACAAATCATAAAATTTTCAAATGAAACTTTTTATGTATAAAAACCCCAAGGAGAAAACATTTGTTGTTGTTACATGGTATAAATAATATCAATGCCAGTGAGGCAATTTCCATAGATCTATACCTAGCAATTTTTATTATTATTATTTTTTTTCATTTTTATTTTTAAAAATCCTGGATTTTAGAATTTTATATACCACATATTTGTATATGGGGAAAAAATCAATCATTTGATTTAAGAAATAAAACATTTGCGCTAATAAATAAGAAAAATTTAAACATTCGTTTCTCAATATTTTGCTTCATTTAGTTGATATATTTGAGCAGCAGACCTCAGCGTTTACTGTCAAATGCTACAGTTTTTAGTCATGGGCTAATGTTTCAAGCACTTATAAAAAATTGTGTTTAAAAAGTCTCTTATTGAAACAACAAGGAATTGTCTAGCTAATGATCTAGCACATGCGTGTGTTCTTTAGAGCGTGACCTACCACTTACAGCAGAAATCCCCTCCAATAGCTGGAACCCTCCAAACTCTGCAATGACCGCACTGCCCAATAACATTCAATACATTATAAACGTCTCTATTGATCGTACACATCCGGAGGTTTGATGAGTCAGTTCCCTCTTAGAACTGTCAGTCATAAACAGGTTTTTATTAGTTATTCATAATCAGCCATGATTATAGAAGAATGATCAACGTGTTTGTTATGCTTTCAGATTAGGAACATAAATCTAAGCCATAATCGAAAACCATCAGGTTCCAGAGTTTAAGATCAACATACAACTCTAACCCTGAGATTATAAATCAGAAATTAAAATATTCGAGCTAACTTTTCATTGAGGAATTCAAATTATCATTCATCATGGAATGCGCGTCTCAAAAATATACGCTCCAAATGATTTAGCTTTTTTACTCTTCCCATCTGATAGCTTCCCAACATTCTACAGTGAAACATCCACAGGGTTTGTTTCCTTAAACACTGTTAGTCAGTAAAAACTGTTCCTGTGACGTAGGTTGAGCTACTGTCACGCTGGCCTTCGATGCAATGAACCTGTGAACCTGAGACACTATCTCATCGATGTCAGGCCTACGAGCTGGATTCTTGTCCGTACATCTGGCCACTAACTTCTTTAGACCCCCCAGGGCCGGATCTGCCAGCCTGCTCATCTGCTCCAACATGTACCCTAGACTGAAAATGTCTGACCGAGTAGTAGTTCGGGCTCCTTCACGAACCTCTGGGGCTAGGAAATTGTACTTGCTCATTTGATCTTGTGGTAGCTGGAAGGTAAGGCCTTGTTTGTAGGTCGCCATACCAACATCGATATACCGAATGATTTTTCGACCTAGAAATAAAAGAAGGTTGGCAGCATTTGTAACTTTCTGGGGGGGGGGGGGGTGTTTCTCCTCCTCCCCCCACAAATTTTTTAAAATGTCTAACCAAATTATCTGTGTAAACTAGTGACAAAATATTTCACGAAAAAATCATTTCCTCTTGAGGTCATCAAACCTAATAACGAATTATCTGTAATAAGAGGGTTGGCCGGCGATAAAGATTTTAATGCAACACGCTTCTCTCACCACATACACGAAAATATCCACACACATTCTCACCAACACAAACCACCAAACCCACCCATACATCCAGCCACACGAACACCCACCCATTCATCCACCCATCCATGTAAAGCAAACACACCCACACATCCACAAACCCACCCATTCATCCATCCACCCATTCAAAGCCCACACACACACAGAATCACCAGCAGTAGAAAGATTTACCTCCAGTTAGATCGATGAGAATGTTGTCGGCTTTGAGGTCGTTGATCAATATATTTTTACGATGAATCAGCCGGAGCCCGGCCACTAGCTGGCCCACAATGTCCAGCCACTCGTCCTTCGTCAAAGGGACTTTATCCGACATGACGTTAAACAGAGTCCGCCCATCGCCAAAGTATTCCATGATGATGCAATACTCGCTGGGCTGCTTGCTGACGTCAAACCTCCTTCTGAGTCCATAAAACTTTGGCGTTATACCAGTTTCCTGTAGAAACATGAGCATCCGGGCCTCGTGGATCACTAGATCCCAGGAGCTCGACTCATAGAAATCTTTAATCGCCACTTCTACGATACCATCAAGGAGCCCCAGGTAAACACAACCATAACTACCTCGTCCTATTTCAGCCCAGTCTCCATTCTCGTCACATGCAAAGCGAACTCTTTCTTTCTCGATGGCTGGTACTTTTATTTGTTCTAACGAAAACTTTTGATATCCTGATCCAGTTTTGCCCTGCAAGTTGCTGGCTGTGTACTTTTGTATCTGCCCTTGGTTTCCATTCTGTTTTGAGGTCACTCTGATTGTTTTCACCCCATAAGTTTTGTATTTATTTTGATTGAAAAGTCTCCCGTGAACTCGCCGCTGGTCACCTGAGTCCACTTTGTTCTTTGTATCTACAGACAGAGCCTGGTTGTTAGTCTCGAGTGTGTCGATGACCCCCGTGTCCTTGTCAGCGCTGCGGGCGTCACCGCCTGGAACATCTTCGACCACTTGCAGTTGTTTATTTTCTCTGCTTCCATCGCTATCTCCATCTTCATCTTCATCCCCGTTTTCTTCTTCCTCGTCCTCATTTTCATCGTCTTCGTAATCCTCTTCCTCATCGTCATCGTCAACCTCATCCTCGTCGTCTTCATCTACCTCCCCGTCGTCACCTTCATCATCGACACTTTCTTCACTACGTTTCTCGTCCGTTTTAATTGCATTACTCCAAGCTTCCCGTTGAGAAAATTTACTTGCAACTTCATTCCCCCTTCTTTGAATCGGAATGTTTTTGTCTGCATCTTCAACGTACCATTGAGTGAACGCTTTCTTACTTGACGTGTCTCCTTGTCCAAAACATGATCGCGAAGCACAAAACGCTCCTTTATCTGAAGGTTGAAGATTAGAAACTGTTGTGTAACTGTCACGCTCGCTACAGCCAGGCTTGCTGTCCACTCCTGTTCGGTCAATGCCGTCACTACATCTCTCGCTGGTAGCCTTCTGTCGGTATGAGGATATGACGGTTGCGTGATCGTCATCCATGGGGAACAGGTTCATTAACAAATCTTCTTGAGGCGCGCCTCCGAAAACATCGAACTGGCTTGTTGGCCCACCCCCTGTATAGTAGCTCATAGCGTCGGGATGATTGCACGTATCATCCATCTCTTGGCTGTCTGCTCGGGGGAAATTGTTCCTCATCTTGACGCTTGTGTAGTTTGACATCATGTCCTCTGACGCTGAGGTGAAGTCATCATCACTGTCTTGCATCTGTGACCGCACTGAGAGATGTGTGCCGATACGAAGGTCATCCCCCGGTCTGCCCCCTCTGCCAAACATATTTCCGCTTCCGTTAATGTTGCGAGATGCCAATGTAGACAATAGGCCACTGTGTGGATGGGGTTTAAAGATATCATAATTTTTGCAGCCCTGTTCGTGGATGAGACAACAAGGGGAATCACATGAGCGTTTCTGGCGTTTCGAGTAACCTACTGTGCTCTGTAAAGTTTTGTGCTCCATAATGCTTTTTTCCATCATCGATCGATCTCCGCTGTGATAAGGAGTTGATCTACAAGCCGCCCCGCTGCTGTACTCAATGTTGGAGTTCCCGTCATCCATGTTGAGGTCGTCATCGACGCTGGAGTTGTCCGATGAGGATGTGTCATAGCCATTGTTGGCACTCTCGTTCCAATTTTTCTTGGCCAGGTCATTATGTAAGGCGTTGATGCAACCACTGTCCCAGTGGTGCACCTTCTCAGCCCACACATCTGTTGGGGCGGAGCTGTATTTCAGGTGTCCAAAACCACGGGTCGTGGTGTACGATTCATTATATTTGACATTGGAAGCCTTAAGAAACGTTGACTTGTACCTGGATTCGTAGTTAAAGTTCAATTTCGGATGTGTGAAGTTTGGATTGATGACAGTCTTGGATATATAATTATGCTGGTTGTCTTGGTAATCAGAGAATCTGCTGTTGGATTTGGAAAAGTTGAAGTCCTCACCAGACAGATCTAGGGAAAAGTCACGATAGTTGTTTCGCTTCAAGAACGAGTGTCTTGTCGAGTACTGACTAATGAGCAAGTCTTCTTTGGACAGCTGATTGATCATTTCCTTTGACTCGGCATGAATGCCCCCACCAAGTTCATTCCTCAGAAAAGCTGACTTAAATGGTCCTTTATAGTGAAGTGAGGTAAAATAATACTCTTGGAATTTCTCGGGCAATCGTTCCGTTGGAGCGTTATTAATTTCATGGAGAGAAGGGTGAGATTTTGATTCTTTCAAACTTGATGTGAATAAACCAGACTGACATTGGTCTGCGAATAAGTTTCTGTCGTTGTCTTGTCCACTTTTATCAGTGTGGGACCGACTCTTTGAGGGGCTCGTCGAACATTCCATCAAGGTGTTGGGGACGCAATACTTCACGGATGAAGTTTTATCCAGATGTTGAGAAAAATGGAGTGGGGCAGCAGACGCGTGTTCTCGTGTCCTTTCGATGAGTTGATGCACGGGTTTTGAGGAAGAAGTGCTTGAAATAATTTGGCTACTTATATTGGAAAGTGTATTTTCAGAGTTTGGCTTTGATGCTTGCCCACTGATGTCTTTGATTTTGCTTTTACACTCATTCACGAACATGTTAAAGTCGTTCCTTGACTTATCGAGGGGAGTATGCGACTCCTCAATAATTGGTGTCAGCAGGCAAGATTCGATCGCCTCGCATTCAGCAAGACTGTCAGCCTCGGCTTCGGCCAAATCGTTTTCAAGATGTTTAGACATAATTTTTCTTTGGATGAGTTCCTCCATTAACCTGCGCTCCATGACTTCATGCTTGAAGTTTTTAAATCCACTCTGAATTTTCTGCTTTATGTCATCCGTGCTGGTCGAAGATACTGTGATACTCGTCGACTCAAGTTTAGCTTGATTAGGGGTCAGTCTGTTGGCTATTCGTGACACGCCGCACTCGCTAAAAGGTGTTATCTTTGATTTGCTCTTCACTAAGACTGATTCCTCCATTGGTTTCGCATCAAACGTCATCCGGACTTTCTCAATTTCCGACTTTCTAGCCTTGGGATGCCGCTGCTTGGTTGCTAGATTCAACTTGCTTACGTTTGGCCTGGGCGCCGAGTGCGATCTGCGGTTATCTGTTGACGTTGTTGAACATTTGGAAACTGAACACCTGGTTTCAGAATGTTCATTGGCGTTTTTATATCTGCGGCTTGTTTTGATTGGATCCAGTTGACTTTCTGACTTCCGTCTCCTCTTCAGTTTTGGGGATTCCTCCTTTTTGGGCCGATGCGACTCCTTTCTTTTCTTAGGTGGATCTAAAAGTTCATGATTTGTTTCTGTTTTATTTTTCTCATCTTTTATCTCACGAGAGTTGCACTCTTCAAGTTGTGTCGGCAACTCAAGGTCACCTTTACAGAAAAGAACCTCTTCTGGCCCAAAGTAATTATTCGTAAACGATACATTGATATGTGATGCCGACGATTTGGCGGAGGCTTGCAGAGACTTACTAGATGATCTTGGCTCGGATAAAAATCTTTTGGGCTTTTGGGGCACCGTATTTGTTTCGTCATTCTGGACTTTTTTTTCGGGGCTTTTCTCAAATGGGGGCAAGGCCCCTTTGATCCAGTCAATCAGCATTTCACGGTAGGTCTTTGGTTGTTCAGGACATTTTTCTGGGAGAGTTACAATGACCAAATTAGGTGTGTCAGATATTTTGCAATTAGACTCCGTTATAACAAATGTTGAACTTTCTGAACTAACTGAGTTTGAAAAAGAGAGCTCGCTTTGAGAGATGTCTTGATACTTTACATCTATTTGATCGCTTTGGTTGTGTTTGGATGGCTTTTCTGGTGACCCCATTTTTAAGTAGTCGTTATTGTTCAAAAGTGGTAACGTTCGCTGAATAGGAGAAGTCCAATTCTGGAGTGCCTTATCCAGTAATGTTTTCACTTTCCCATCAATGATTGACTGAAGAAAGCGTAGAGACGAAGACCCTCTGTTTGGTGGACTGGGACTTTTTTCTGCGCTCGAAGGGGGGGCCATGTTTAGAGGTGGTTGAGAAATTGTGTCCCCGTCGTTATCACCATCCAGTCCATGCTCATGTGAAGACTCGGTCTTGGAATGAATATATTTTTTTAACAGCTCATCAATCTGAACTTCGTCACTGCCAGTGAATTGAGAGATAGTGCTGCTGAATAATTCTCTAGAAGAAACTTGGAATTCTGTAGCATCTCTTGGGTCATCCAGCAAGCTGTCTTTGTTTCTTGTCAAAATAGAAGTGTCATGCTCTGTATCCAATGGCATGTTTTCATTTTCCATAAGAGATATACGATGTCTCAAGACTTCACTGTTAGTATTTTGTCGTGTAACTTTAGATGGTTTTATCTCAGGAACGTTCTCGAACTCCAAGTTGTTATGTTCCCCCTCCATATCAGACATCCCGTCGTGCTTCGCGACCCATTTTGAACTATTGCACTTGTTGCCACCGTCCACAGAACTACTTTTATCGAGCCCACTGTCCAAACTGGTACACGAAATGCCAGATTTTGATCTGTAACGCTTCTTATGTGACATTTTGCGTCGGTCTGGATTGATTCGTAGATAAGTGAATTCTTTCTTTTGAGTTCCGACGTGTTCATGCCTTTGCTTCTTCACAGCTGCCACATCATTGGAAAAATGGGAATATGGACACTTGCATTCAATATTGTGTTCACCTTGATCAAAATACTGATTCTCAGGGCTGTCATTTTCCATGACATTGTTAGACTGACTGCTATAACTTTTCCAAGAGCTAAAGTAATCTGTATCCTGATCAGTAACACATTCAGAGTTGTCATCCACTTTGTTGACATCATCAAGTGCATACATAGGTAAATCCTGTCTCTCAATGGAACTTGAAGATCCCACGTTTCTCAGTGCGTTTTTTAAAGCAAAGCGGCAGCATGGGTCAACGTCATCAAAATACCGTATTTCTGCTTCTCTTTCGTTTTCTTCATTGGCTGTAATCGAGCTCTGGGAAGTGACAACAAAAATGGTAACATTATCTAAAAAAGGACGTTCCTCACCGGAGAAATCTTTCGAGTTGTTTTTAGTTTTGTCCGTTGGCTGGGATGTAGTGTCACCGCAGGCTCCCAGCGGGTATTTGGCTTTCCCAACTTTTGTTGAGCTTTTATCTCCTTTGAAAGACTTTCTTAAATAAATGTAGCGCTGAAGTTCAAAACGTCTTTGTTGGCATCTAGAGCACGCGCACAGTCTTTGATAATTTCTTTCAGACATCTTCCCGCATCTGGTTTTAAAATTGGGGAGTGACTTGTCAGTGCTGTAAAGAAATTTTCTTTTTAAAAATAGGTCATTTTGAAAGTCCCTTACTTGAGATATTGGATCTACTTCCCCTTTAAAGGATTTGAAGTCTGTTCGAGGTGAGTGAGACCCATCACTGCGATCATGGTACACAGATTCGGCACTGAAAGAGCGAGCGCTGAACCGATGCCTGCTTGAACTTTTTGGCTTGAAATGGGTGAAGCCTTCAAAGATCTTTTTAGTTTTCACACTCCGAGACCGCGGCCTGTGCATTCTATCTAAGGAATGTGATCTCGTCCGATGTCCGATCCTGTGACAAGGCGATGGGGACCTCGATTCCTTGTAATAATATACACTATCTTCGCTGTGTGACCTCGCTCTTCTGCTGCACCCACAGGAAGAGGTGTCGTTAAATGAATGGCATTTCTTCTTGCGTAGTCCTCTCGATTCTTGCCGGGATCGCATTGTCATCAATTGAAAGATATCTTTAAGGTCCGTTTGTGGAACTGTTTTATGAGATAACCCTTGACCACGTTCGTTTCTTCTTCCTGGTTTGGGTAATGGAAAATCTTTTGGTAGTTTGGGATCACGGCGAAGTTTTCCACGTCTCGGGTCAAACTTTTCTCTGTTTCTAGTGTCTGATTTTGTGTTTAGCTCGGACGAAGTTTTAGTGCTCACTTCAACATCACGAATAAAGTATTGCATTTCTGTGTTCTCTGCCTTGTCACACTTCTGTGTGTCTCTGTCAATACTCTGAGTTTGGATGGCGGCATTTTTAGAACATTGAACTTGAATTTTAACAGCACGTGTTCTGGGTTTTTGTTGATACTCTCCGGAACTCTGAAATTGTGTTGACTTGGGAGTATACATTTTGCTCTGCGGTTCCTGGAGCTCTTCCGGTTTTACTGGTGACGTCATTTTATTTGAAGTTTTAATCTCGCTTTTAACGTGAGAGGAATGCGATTGTGTCCCTTTTGATGGACTTGCAATCTTTTTTGTTGGTTTTACATTCTGTAGGCTAGGACTAAAATTAGAATCAGTAGGACTTGCAAACTTCTTGGATGGCCAGAGATTCGGAAGGTTGAAGCCTCCAGTATCAGAAGTACTAGTCAACGTCTTTGACTTCCAGACATTCGGAAGGCTAATGTTAGCATCATTAGTTGGGCTGTCGGTTGCATTACTCTGCTGAGGGGATAACACATTCTTAACTGTTGTACGGTCTTTCAATTCTTGGACCCACTTCGCGGTGTCTTTTGCCGTGGCACTAGAGAAAAGCCTCAGTGATGACCAACTGTTTGACAAGCTAGCTGCAAAAAGTAAGGCTCTGATGCTGTTTTGGCGGATCTGCTCTATAGCCTCGTCATCGTGCCCACCAACAGCCAGAGATGGCAACGATCGAACGAGCTCAGTTATATGCTCTTCTGATTCCATCCGTGAAAACACAGGAAAACTCGTTTTGTGAGGAAAGTCTGAATGATCGCACACAGAAGAGAGTTTTGCGCTATCAGATGAAACGTTGTCCGTGTCCAATAGTCTTAGGGTGTCAATAACTCCACAGTGATATGCTAAATCAGAGTACATGAAATCACCACTTCCTGAGGAAGAATTTCGATCTCTATCGGCATTTGAAGAGCAGTTTTTATTCTTGGAAACGGCGACTGATAAAGCTGTGCATTCTGGAGAACTTTTCTGAGAATTACAAGATTCATTTTCAGGAATAAAATGTCCATGATTGGATGTTTTGTCTCTATACTTGCTTCTGATGTTTCTATACATGGCACTATTTGCTGACAATGTTTGGCTCTCGGATGTATCACCTGGTGAGGCTTCAATGCGCATTGGAGATTGTAAGCCTTTAATGCGATAGGAACACTTCGCACTTGCAGATTTAGGTCTCACTTTAACTCGCGGCCTACCGACCACAGTGACATCTGTTTCATCACTGGGAATAAAAGCGCTTCTGACCAGTAAAAATGGATTCTCCCTTCTGGTCTCAGGTAACTTTTTAGGAACGTTAATACAAATGTCTTCCGGTGAACCGATGTCATCAACCTTCTCCGATGACAGATTACACAAGAACATGTCTGCTTGTCTTTGATAAGGTACATCGGGAGAAATATATTTGATATATTCGCCAATGTTTCTCGCTGAATATTTGTCGCTTACCGGCACAGGTTGTTCCGGAGTGATGACCTGCCTAAATGGATCAATGGCTCTCACGTGGAAACTTTCAGGACTGCGGTCACTTTTGGCAGAGTTTGAGCGTGACCTGTAGGCACATCGGTAGATATCTCTCCCTCTTTGTTCATCGGATTCAAAGTTACAAAATTGCCTCGTGAAACGACCTTCTGAGTAATCGTAAGATTTGATCAAGTTCATTCTGGGAGCTGGTACTGGGCTTTTCCGACGGTTGGAAGGTAAATAATCGGACAAGGAATCACAGCTTTGGGTATTGTCTTGCTCATACTCAATAAGTCTTAGCTGTCTTTGTCTTATATACTGACTGTCCCGCAAGTATTTCTTCATGCTTTTGTCCGAGGCGCGGTTGTCAGCCCACTGCGAACGAGCTGACCTCGAATTATTTGAAAGGACAAGGTTATTCATATATTCACAATCGGACGTTTCGGATGACAAGTCCTCACAATCCTTTGCACCACCACAATCAATAATTTTAACACCCTGGGGGGAGGTAATCATTTGAACGGTGCCGTTTTGAATAGCCACAGTGGTGCTCCTTGAGGCCGGACAGGTATTTGTGTCGTCGGAACAACGAAATGTAATTCGTCCTTTGATCTTTCTTATTTGTCTTTGCGCACATGAATCCCCTGATGGGATATTTTTACTGCTCAACTCTTTACAACTGTCATCGGAGACACACTCTTCTGATGACACAGCATCCGAACACCTCTCCTCCTCTTCAAGATCCTCATGTTCGCCGCTTTGTTCTTTGTGAAAGCAGACCTTAATGATGCTGGACGCTCTACTCCTATTTCTCTCAGTGCCTCGTTTCGAAACAACGTCATCCGTGCATTCCTCCTGGTTGTATTTGTCTGAATTTCGCAGCCTCCCTTTCGAGCGTGCGGACATCAACGGCTCATCGTCACCCGACTCACCACTTGTTAGTTCTCGGCAACGCCTTTTATCTCGCATATAGAACGCTTTTTCTGGCTTGTCGTTGTCATCCGTGTCAATGGATGGAGGCTCGTCCAATGTGTGAGTATCCAGCTTTTCGGAGTAAGATTCATCCTCATCAGTGGATTCTATTACTTTTAAAACTTGATCGTTGTCAGCTCCGCGACTAGGAGCTATGACTCTCTCCTCATCTTCCACATAACCATCATGTCCACGGCCCTCTGTAGGTGTTTGTCTCCACGTTGATGTCTCGTATGAGGCTATTGTGACAGACTCATCCTCATATACCGCATCGGCTCCAACACGGTGACACCTAGTGCTACGCAAACTTGGTTCCATGGTCGTCTCTTCCTCGTCATTATCCCTGCTGTGTTTCGTTTGCTTTGTTGATCTCCTGCTGGGTGAACTGTAACTGGCTTCAAACGTCCGAGTCTTAGCATCCCTACGACCATCGTAGTCCTCGGCGTTAGAAATGTCTCTCATTTTACTGAATCGTTTAGCATCAGAGCCCTGTTCTGCCCTCGATTTGGAATCTCGGTATCTCTGTTCACAGCTATCGTCCATAGTAACACGGCGAGCAGATGACGGATGATGGATGGGGGGACGAGTTGAACTAACTGATCTTTTATCTGCCTTAGGTAACTTTTCATTACACTGAGGATACTGATAGTCTCTGTGGGGTAGTCCTTTGGAACATTCATCTGCACTTTGACTTTTCTGAAATTTCTCCTCCTTTGACACACGTAACTGATCTATTTCGGATTTAGTTACTGGACTTTGACGATCACATTTCTTCATGAATTCAGGTCTACATGGTTTATTGATGGCTTTATCCTTATCAAATGGCAACATTTGGCTTCCAGCTTGTAAGGAGCTTGTCCCAACAGTACAAAGATACTGCGGTATGGTATGTTGCTCGGGGCTGTCCACAAAATCACTAGAACCACTCCATCGAGTAGGATCCTGTATTGTCAGTTTCTGACTCTCTGCGACTGTGACCAGCTGTTGTTTGCTAGATGCCACTGATGGTACAAAGGTGGCAGTTTCCCTATCGTAGTTTTCTTGAATAAAAGAAGAAGATCTTGTCCGGGCTGATTTATCTCGAACCCCTTCCATCGGCATTCTCTGTTGGGGGTCCTCCATCATTGAATGAAATTTAGAAATGTTTGCCGATGATTCGATTGCGGTTTCGTTAAGAGTTGATCCACGATAAAACTCATTATCTATTCTCTCGGGTGGTGCATCTTTTGAAGGACGTGTTCTGGAAGTTAGTCTTTCTTGCCTACTTTCTCTGCCTGGCGTTCGAAGTGTGCTTTCCTCTTCATCTGATATATGGAGGCTGCTTTCCTTTTGAGACTGTGCTCTAAATCTATCAACAGAAGATAATCTTTCTTGTCTACTTTCTACAGCTGAAGCACGTCTCGTGTCCCCTTCCTCGTCTGAGGGCTGCTGAATGCCACCAATAAGAGATTGGGCCCTGGAATATTTATCCGCGGAAGCAAATCGTTCATGCCTACTTTCTCTGAATGAAGTTTGTCTGCTGCCATCTCTAACAGAGTCAGCTCTAGAAATGTTTTCAACTGGAGTTAACCTCTCTTGGAGGCTATCTCTGGCTGTAGTTCGCCTCGTGCTTCCTTCTTCTAAATTTTGTTGAGATTGTCCACGAGAAATTTTGTCAAATGATGTTAATCTTTCTTGGAAACTTTCTCTGGAGGACGTTGGCCATTGTCCCTCCTCTTCATCTGAAACTTGCCCTCTTGATGATCTTTCAATCGAAGTTAATCTTTCAAGCCTGCTTTCTCTGCCTGAATTTCGTCGTACTCCATCTTCACTTCCGAAAAATTGCTGGCTACCTTCTCTAAGAGATGGCTCTCTAGATAATTTTTCTATTGAGCTTAACCGCTCTTGTCTACTTTCTCTAGTCGACGGCTGCCTTGTGCCAGATTCTTCATCTGAAAGTTGCTGGCTTCCATCTCGAAAAGATTGCTCTCTAGAAAGTTTTTCTATTGACGTTAGTTTTTCCTGCACACTGTCTCTACCCGAGCATCGCCGTGTACCCCCTTCATCCTCAGACAATTGTTGACTGATTTCTCTAAGAGATTGTGTTATGGAATTCTTATCAATCGAAGACATTCTTTGTTCTAAACTTTCTCTGGTCGATATTGGACGTGTTCCTATTTCATTGTCAGAGGTTTGCCGACTGCCTTCTCTGGCCGACTGTGCTCTGGAAAGTTTTTCAATTGATGTTTGTCTACTTGCCCTCGTCGACACCTGCCGCGTGTTCCCTTCTTCATCAGACATTTTTTGACTGCCTGTAATACGGGATGTTGGTCTGGAACTTCTTTGGTTTGATGTTAATCTCTCTAACCTACTTTCTCTATTTGACATCTGTCTTGTGCCCCTGTCTTCATCTGAGGAATGTTGACTGCTTCCATGAAACTCTCCTTCCTGGCTGCTGCCTCTGCCTGATGTTTGCCGAGAACCCGCTTCTTCATCTGAAGGTTGACTGCTGCCTCTACGAGATTGTTCTTTGGAAAGTTGTTGTATTAAACATAATTTATCTTCTATTAAGTCTCTTGCTGACGTTCGCCGCGTGTTTACTTCCTGATCTGAGGCCTGCTGGCTACCTTGTTGAAAAGATTGCTGCCTCGAGAATTTTTCACTGGAAGCAGGTTTGCTAATTTGTCTAGACATGTAAGTTCCTCTGGGTGATTCCTGGCCCGAATGTTGGGATAATTGTACGCTGGAATGTCTCTCTGATGAAGCCGCTCTGCTGCTCAGTCTCGATGGGCTGTCTCTGATCGTTGAACGATAGTCTTCTTGAAAAGGCTTCGACATTGAGCTTCTGTTAACAAGTGCACGTTCCGATAGATTCATCTCATGTGTAAAGTCTTCATCCGCTTTAAAAGGACTGAATGTTTTATAGGGTGACCCACTGGATCTGCCACTTGACGCTGTGAGGTTATCTATCGTGCGCGATGATCGCTTTGTTGAGTCTAATTGTAGTACAGTGTCATCTTCTTTAAAGGTTTGGCTTCTTGAAAATCGTTCAGTTGCACTGTCTTGTTTAAATGAAGAGCTATCGAATAATTTTTTTCCTAGAAAGAGGTCTTCAGACAAATTCGAACTTTCTTTTTTAGAAGAAGGTATCATTAAGCCTCTTCCCGTACTCCTGTCAGCACTTCCAGGCAGTCGACTAGGTGATGGGCTCTTTTCCTCATATGAGCTTTGGCTGCCTGATTTCAAAAAGGGGGATGTTCTGTAATCATTAGGGGATCTAAGTCCACTTTTCAGTGACTGATCGTAACTCGAAGCTCGGTCACGTGCGGCGCTTGGAATAAAATGGACGCTGCCTTTCGCAGATTGCCTATCTTGAAATTGGGGACTGCTGTAGCGACTAAACCTGGGACTCATGGGTAAATCATTCTTATGAGCTTCGTATTCAGGAGGGTACGTAGATCGTCGCATGGGTTCTTGCGATGGAACTCTTGTCACGTTCGTACTTGGTGTTGCCCTCTCACCAGTTGCTCTGCGTGAATCCAAACTGCTTCCCTGCACATCTAGATGTCTGGGAGGTGGTGCTGGGACATTGACTATATGAGTGGAGTCTACTCTCGGAGAGCTTCTCATATAAGTAGGAATTTCTAAAACTATTTTCACTTGATCAGCAGGACTTTGACTGTCATATTCAATTGTTTTTGTCTCTCCACGCGGTGATAATCTGCTCATCTGCCTAGGTGAAATTTCTATATTAGTCTGGCTGTCCCGCCATTGTCTGGAAGCTTCTTCGACATAGTAGCCACCTTGCCCTTCCTTCTGAGAATACCTCTGACTTCCTTGTAGGGCTGCGTTTTGAAGGATTGGCTCCGTTTCTTCAAACTGCCCGGTCGCTGCCGTCTTTATACTCGTTCTGTGTGACAGTTGCGATGGAAAGGAGGATTTGCCTGACTGTTGTATGGATACCTTCCTCACTTGACCTTGGTCCTTGTCGGAGTACATTCTCTCGTCTGAAGACACTTGACGTGAAGTGTCATCTTTGTCTTCTGATCTCTTGCTCTCCTTCTCTTTCGACTTTCTTGATTTTGGTTTCTCTTCCTCCTCCTCCTCTAAGTCATCTTCTTCTGAGTCATTCATGAAGAGACTTGGAAAGATAAAAATAAATAATGAAATATAACTAGTGGCAGTTTTCATTAAATTATTTAATTTATATATATTCTAAATTATATTAAATTTATTATTCACATAATGTGATTGACAACTTTACCGAAGTTAAACATTGTCATTTGTTCTATGTTAATAATTCTAGATTTCCTCAATGAAGTATTTTAATAATATTTACATATTGAATATGGAGAAGTTAATATATACAATAAATTTAAATACTTGAATAAACATTAAAATTTGTCATCTAAAATTATTTTAAGTAGTAAATTTTAATTTATTAATTCAAGCTTTAAAGTTAAGAATTGGCCAGACTACATGGCAAGTCTATAGGGTGACACTACGTGACAATTCTACAGGGCGAGATTACATGGCAAGTCTACAGGGTGAAACTGCATGGCAAGTCTACAGGGTGAGACTACAGGGGGGGGGGGCTCCTTGGGCTGATAATGAAATATAGTCTGAAGTTATAGAGGACTACCTTACAAGTCTAGTTTATTATCCATTAATTTTAATATTTAGGTCTATCCTACAGATTTAGAAAGGGGGTAATACAGTAATATTCAATAGGACTATTCTACCGTTTATTGTAGAATCTTTTTCATCTTTGTGTAGACTAGCTTTTTTATGTTGTTATTTTGCGATACATTAAAACTAACTCCACAAAGTCAGCAACAAACTAATACGCTCTGCTTCTGTGGGCAGCAGCCACAAAACCTTGGACGATTAAATGTGTTGGTGTTGCAGGTTCCATCTTACGACATACACCTTACACGCCTGAGCTTTTCGCGACACACCATTTTGAACATTCTTGGTCCAGACTAGACTAACGGTAAACTCTACGAACTTAATCTATAAGTTTATTCGAGAGGCCGAGTTGATGAGCCTAGTCAAGACGAAGTTGTCGTATCCGCATGACAAGTAATTATTCATAAGTACATGCACATCAATAATGTTGAGGTTGTTTTCATTTATGTTCTGATTTAATCTCAATAAAAGTTGAACATTACGATGAAATCAGTGAGGCTCATATTATCAAAGCTATTTTTCAAAAGTTGCATTACATTTTAGTCAAACACACAACCTTATATTCTTGTATTTTAAAAAGAAGTCAATAAATATTTTTGAAAATCATTTTCATCGACAACGATGTTAGCATTAATAACTCTTTTAATGAACAAAGAATTACCTGTCCATGCCTATGTCTGGCCTGTAAAGACCAATCATTCCCGGGAATGAATGAAATAAACTATTCCTGTAGGCAATACAATTCAGCTGGTCTCCAACAGCCTGGTTCAAGTAGAGATAGAAATATTATTGCTCAGGTAGCACCAGTGGCAACCTTTGACTAAATGCCGCCCGCTGAGAACTCCTATATTTCGCCCCCTCCCCTTTTTTTCGCAAATTATCAGTACAGTAGAGCGTCGTTTTCCCAAACACAGATTATCCGAAACTTCGGATAACTGAGTTACTTCTGTCTCCTATCGTAACCCATGAGTAAGACGTAGAACATTAGCTTACAAATCCTGAAAATGATTCTGGTCCCTGTCTCACAAGACATGTAAATTCTAGATACCCACTATACATGCAGTGACTAGACTCCGATAAAGCAATATACAAATTTGTTAATTGATAGAACTTAACGTAATAATCCGCTTCTGACTATAAGCCGCACCATTAAAGCTTGGAACTATACTTTTTAAAATATATTTTATGTGCCCTAACTTCATTAACACACCCTTTCCATGGGAGTGTTCGGTTGTCACACAAAAATTGGTATAATAATAATAATAATAATAACAGGTCTTATATAGCGCGGTACCCCAGCCTAGGGCTGGGCTCACCGCACTGTACATAAAAATTTTATCAAAAGAGACATAATCATGACATTAAAATAAAATAGATTTATGAAATAAAGTACAGCAATGTATATTCACCCACCCCACCACATAACTTTTACAAGGCAAACCATGGACGGCAGCCAGCAAGATCGTTTATCGGTCACAGGAGGGGAATCAGTCAGGGTAGTATAATTTAAAAAAGCTATGTTTTGAGTGCAGTTTTGAAGGCCTGGGTGGTATCCAAATACCCCTCGTCCCAGTTAATTGTGAGATCGACTCTCAGCCGCACATTCAGAGCGGTATTGCTACTAATAATAAGAACTGTTTTTAGTTTACTATCATGCATCAACAGTTCATTCCGTTGTATCTGATGTTTTGGTTTGACTGGTCATTTGAAGATGGCGTCACCATGTCATTTAACGCACAAATAAAAACAACACACATTATCTGAGAGATAACTTAATGCGTTTGAAAATTATTTTTTCCTCCAAAGCAGCGGTTCTCAACCTATGGGTCGCGACCCCTTTGAGTCGAATGACACTTTCACAGGGTCGCCTAAGACCATCTGAAAACACATATAGTTTACAGTTATGAAGTAGCAACCAAAATGATTTTGTGATTGGGCGTCGCTACAACATTAGGAACTGTATTAAAGGGTCGCGGCATTAGAAAGGTTGAGAACCACTGCTCTAAAGCAAGATCTTCAACAGCTTAGTAAACATCCCTGGCTAGAAACTGGTCTAAAATTTGCTAATGGCTATGTAAGTCAAATGTATATAAAGTAATGGAAAAAGTTACAATAACGGGCAAATGTTATTCTATGCTGAGTGACGGTACAATCTAAATCAGTGATTGGTGGAGGCTGCACATTTCAAGTGTAGAAGAGCCAACCATTATATTTCTTTTTAGGCGCAAAGATTAAAAGATGATTTTTAAAACCAATAAAATGAAGCAGCCAAACGGAAGTCAACATCGATTAGTGTTACAAAGTTTGATGGGATTATTTTAATACCCTCAATTTAAGCTTTAATGTTGAAAATTTCATCAATAGCAAAGTAAAAATGAAAAATTATTAATAATCATGATTACATAAATAGAATTGAAAAGAAATAGTTTCGATTCCAAAAACAAATTTCACTCAATTTTATTTTTACATTGGCCTATATATGATAAAATGATTTTGCGGCCACCCCCCCCCCCCCCCCCCAGGTTAAAAAAAAAAATTTTCGTTTCCAAAAACAAATTTCACTCAATTTTTTTTTTAAATTGCCCTATATATGATAAAATGATTTTGCGGCCCCCCCCCCCCCCCCCGCCGCAGGTTCAACACTGGGTAGTACTTCTATTTATAACAAGGGTATAATTGACTTGTGTTGTGTCACCTTCTTCCTCCATTGTTTCCAATAAATTCTTCATAAAATATATAAGAGGATGTTAAGAGTTTTTGCGAATTTTTAAAACAATTTTAAAAAAGATCTTGCACTTGCGGTAATCTATCAAAGAATTTTTACTTTTTTATTTCATGTATTAATTAATGTCATTGTTTTTGTTTTGAGTTGTTTTGAATTTGTCCTCTTGCGTTTATTGCTAGATTCAATGATCTTTTTATTCATAAGCGTGTATTAGTATTTTATCTCCAAATAGTGTGCATCAACTAGAGTAGGCCTGATCTAAGAGTGAGCTGAAAATGTTACCATAACAGCTGCACAAACATTATATGGAGAGAATTCCATTTAGCGCCCCCTCCCCCTTTTCAAATGATGGGTGTCAACATTGATAAAAACCATTGCACGCAATTAAATGTTTACAAAAAAATCTGTTGCTTTCACTGGACAGAGATTTCCATACTCATACATATGAAGTACACATGAGTTTTTCTTCTTCTTCTATTAATTAAGGGCCCACGATCAATTTATTGATCATTTTGGCTCCTATGCACGTAGTAAGCTGGTAAGAAATGGAGATGGAGAAGACAAAGGATCGTCAAGAACAGGTAACACTCCACACAAGTCCACAATGCAACAGAAAAATATTGAAATCGCAATGTCAAGATGAAGATCTTAGGATGATTTGGAAGATTTGTTTTGTAATAGTTGTGTGTTGCCGTTGTATGTCTTTGATGTCAGACATTTATGTTAAGAGATAAAGATTTAGTTTGTACCGTACAGCTGATACATCTTTATATCACGTACACATTTGCCTTTCACACGCAACATATCCATTTCACTTTCACACGCAACATATCCATTTCACTTTCACATGCAACATATCCATTTCACTTTCACACGCAACATATCCATTTCACTATCACACGTAACATATCCATTTCACTTTCACATGCAACATATCCATTTCACTTTCACATGCAACATATCAATTTCACTTTCACATGCAACATATCCATTTCACTTTCACACGCAACATATCAATTTCACTTTCACATGCAACATATCCATTTCACTTTCACACGCAACATATCCATTTCACTTTCACACGCAACATATCCATTTCACTTTCACACGCAACATATCCATTTCACTTTCACACGCAACATATCCATTTCACTTTCACACGCAACATATCCATTTCACTTTCACACGCAACATATCCATTTCACTTTCACACGCAACATATCCATTTCACTTTCACACGCAACATATCCATTTCACTTTCACACGCAACATATCAATTTCACTTTCACACGCAACATATCCATTTCACTTTCACACGCAACATATCCATTTCACTTTCACACGCAACATATCCATTTCACTTTCACACGCAACATATCCATTTTACTTTCACACGCAACATATCAATTTCACTTAGGTTCGGTGACACATGCTTTTTTTTTTAAATTTCATACGTGCATGATTCATTTTCACCTCTGCTTTGTAACACAACTATTTTACCTTTGCTATGTTCCCAAAAAAGTTCTTTCGGGTAAATGAAACACCCCGGTTTGAATCTCCCCAGCCACACGGGTGACGTCTCTTCTTCTTCGCCTTGCACGGTCTGCATGGAGGCTGCTCCAAGCATGGCTTGCTTGCCGAGGCTGTACTTTCACTACTCTTCTTACACACAGGATCCTTTGGTGATTTACACAATGGGAAATTGTTTTGTTCCTGTTCAGTTTTGGGGGATATTTTTTCGGGGCTGGCGTGGACGCCGTTGCCAGGCGATGTTTCTGGTTTTTTCTCAGGTTTGCTTGGTTCTTCTTGTGGCTGTGGCGAATCTTCTGGTTGCCATTCACGGAAACATTTTCTGGTGCCCTTGACCTTACACGCCAAATTTGGCTTAGGTGACACTGTTTTCTGATCTTTTGGTTTAAGAAATGTTCCACTCTTGTGCTCTAATTCGTTTGAGGTTCCGTGGACTCGATAACTGGACGGTGGCGATTGGGAAACCGGAGAGCCTGGCTTCAACTTTGGGGATCTAGGAATGCCTTTTGGGGATCCTTGATTAAGCCCCGGAGAACCGGGTTTGACTTTTGGGGATCCTTGTTTTACAACTTTAGAACCAGTTTTGCCCTTCGGAGAACCTTGTTTTCCATTTTCTTGCGTCAGTGCATCGAATACACCTTTGCCGATATTAAATTGTGCAAGATTATTAGGTATGTATATGTCACCGGTAGGCGTCGGACTAGGCCGGCCGTTCCCACGTGACTTGCCCTTTTTTCTGTGTTTTCCTTTTGATTTTCTTCCTGGGGATTTCAAACTAGAGAGCCCAATGTCCCCAGGTGACAATGAGTCAGCTCTTCTCGTCGATGATTTTTTAGAAGGAGAAGAGCCCTTTCTGGTTTTCGGGGAGCTCCAGTCATCTAAATTTGTTTTGGTGATAGTTTTTCTCTCCGCTTCTGTAGCAGCTTTAGTGTCACAGGGGACTACATTTTTTGGACTAAGAAAAAAGCGTCTTACTGGAGGCTCTGACTGGGTCCGATTTTTGTGAGAATTCGAAACGGGGTCGTTATCATTGGCGCATATTTCCAACATTCGGTGTGGGGGTGAGAGTTTGTCCAGATTACCCAAAGTCTCCACCTTGGCTTGAACCGTGTTTTGGTCAAGCACTTGATTGTCTGTCGACACATTGCCATCGTTGGTAGCCTCTGTTAAATGCTGGAGTGGTGGAATTACATTGGGGATCAGATTTTCGCCGCTTGTAAGAGTGAGAAGCCCATCCCCGAAATTCATGCGCGGGTTGACAAAGTTCTGTGTTTTATCTAACCCCTGCTGGATGACGGCGTCTAAGATATTGAGGTTGTGCCTCTGGTTCAAGACGCGACTGGCATAGCTATGGGCGGATAACCCTTCTAGGCTTGATTTCGCACGACGATGGGTGAATTTCTCAGCCCTTGTCCCATCAAAACCACTATCGACCTGAGAGCGCCCCCGAAAATTTTGAGTATCAACATTTCCCGGGGGACGCGTCCGTGACTCGGAACGATTTCTTTTGAGCTGATCGCCGTCAGCTTTATTTGAGAGACCTTCAACCTTAAAATCCGTCGTTTTAAAATCGGAGATGTTAGACCCAGTATTTGCCGTATCTACCCCTGTATCCCCACATGTCTTCGATCGCGATCTGGTTGGGTTTTTCTTGGAAGTAATTTTAAACGTGGATGGTCTAAGCGCCTTTACACCATTGTCCTCCGACATCACGCATTCACTTTGCTTGACCTACATTTTAAGTTGGTAACTATATACTGACCATAAGCAGGGCTTGTCGTGGCTGGGACGTCGAACATTCGTTTCTCAGGTTTGGTCATTCATGACTAAAAGTTTAAGGTTTAGAGCGGCCATTGCAGATTGGAAACGTGAAAACATGGAAACGACGTCACAGCTTGGGATGTAGACAAAACAGCGCTTTTAGTTTGAGGATTCAAAGCAAAGAAAAAAGCGAACATATGCATTGAAAGAAAAACATCTCTGACTTGTGTGAACTCTCGTGGGTGCATATAAATATAAACATTTTATGACGTGTTTCTTGGAGAACAAATAACTATTTAATCATAATTTCCCAATTGAATTGTCACTGATGCTGATCGCACCTTGCTGTTCGAGCAGCCGAATATAAGACATCCAAAGGTAATCATTTTGATTCTCATTTTAGCAGAAATTATCTACTGGGTATGTTTAGAAAAATCTCAACTGAGTTATTTTACTGTAAGTGTGAACTATTTCATTAAATTTCCCCCACTTAAATTGGAATGGTTGGGCTTTCTAACATATATTTAAGACTAATAATATAATAATAATCAAGATTTACATTTTTAATGTTACCTTCGAATATCTTTAAATTTTCTTGTAAATTTGATTTTCCTTGATCTGAGAGATTTCTAGTCTTCATAAATATGAAGTTCTTATTTATATTAAAATCGCATATTTGAATTGAAATTCTGTACAGATTACATAACTATTATTAATGATATACACTCTAAAAATCGTTCAAACATTTATTTGAAAGGCTTCAATGGAAAAGTCAGGCATCCTGGCCGTTATTAAGTATTAATGGCCATAGAATACATCATATTTAATATCTAATTGTTTTGTATATTTTAATTGTACTTTTAGTAACGTACGAAAAATGTTCTAGCATTAAAAGAAACCGTGAGCAATGGTCCAACAATAGAAGACATACGCACGTAAATCTTGTTTGTGGCTGTGGGTCTTGCGAAGGGGGCATTCACCTCGGGTGCCAACATCGGGAGGCGCCAAATCATCTTTAGAAAAGGGCCTTATTAGTTAAGTCTATGATACCATTATAAGATTGTATTTCACAAAGACAAGGGGCGCAAAAATCGACTTTTCACTGGTGCGCCTATGTATTTAAGGGCGTTAATGTCAGGCTTTTTTCCGATCGCCGTTTTCCTCGGAAAGGCCCTGTGCGATACTAATACAGTTTAGTCTTTGCCAGCAGTGGCATGGTATGTAATGGATAAAAAAATGCATAATAATAATGTGTACAATTTGTTTACTTTGACTAGATCTAGATAGTAAACAAAAATACAAAAAAAAAAAACAGTCAGAAGAAACCAAAGAGTCAACAAAATGTCAACCAACAACCAACAGTGATCACCAACCATTTTAAATCAATCTTTACATTACTGTAAAAATAATCTTCAACCCCCCCCCCTCCCCGCACAATAAAAAAAAAATACCCCGACATCACTTTAAAAAAACAAGATACATTGGACTTGGTTATTTATTCAGAGGCCTATACATTTGGTAAAGACAAATTTATACATAGTGTGGCAAATGCAATGAATAATTGCCTTCAAGAAGCATCAATAGTTGTGTGTGAACGAAATTGTTGTATGGGCACCATGACCAGGATCTTCAGCGAATGGGGCCAGTTGCTTACCTCGGGCAGCGTTCAGGAGCTCGATGGCGTGAGTCGTCGTGCCTTTCGCCGTCGTTTGCAAGTTGTAAGGCTCCATGTTGATCTTGCTGTAGTCGGGCACGAACGTTTTATAGACCTGCTCCGTGTAAGAGTTGGCAAGCAGGGACGGTTCGGCGTGCTGCAGTGGTACTGTGCCCGAGAAATCGTTGCCCAAATGAATGTTCCCGTGAGGCGAGTTCATCGATTTAGTGAACGATGAGGACAGCAACTGTGTCATGAGTTTACCATCGTAATACCGCTCTGTTCCCGTGGTCCACTTGTTGGCGTGAGACTTGAATGAATTGGTGTGAGAATACACGTCTCTTGCGTGGTAGACCCTGTAGCCAGCTTGGGAACTGTTGACGCGTAGAGGTAATTCTTCATCCAGCTTTCTATTTCCGATGCTAGTAAAATCACTTTCCTTTTTCCGATTACCAGTACTCTTAAAGTCCTCATCGAGTGTTCGATTACAGATAAGATTGAAATCTTCAGGAATCGAGGGAGGTAGATTAAGGAAGGCTGAACTTTTGTTGAAGTTTGATTCATTCCGTGCATAGCTGTATCTCCTTACTGTATACCATGGAAGCCTAGAGCTGTTGGATTTGGCACTGTAAGCAGAGGACCCTAATCGAACTAAAGAAGGTTGTCTCATCTTCTCGGGATGTGCGTTACAGAAGTCGTAAGCATATCTACTATTTTTATCTAGATATTTCTTCTTCAGTCGCGTTCTGTCTGGTTGGAACTGCCATTTAGACGAGTAAAGAGCATCGAACGTCGCTCTGCTTGCCAAAGTCTGAGCCGTCAGGTCCTTAATTAACGACGACATTCGCTCCTTTTTTCTGATTAATTCAAGCATGGACTGAATTTTGCACATATTACGCACGCTTTCTCCACAAGGAGATGGACCAGCCTTACTCGCATTGCTTTCCCCGTTGGGTTTTCCCTTCATTAATGTACTGTTTTCAAGAGTTTTTTGGACCAAATTTGATAAACGGCTCTTAGGCTCTCCTGGATTTTCCTCCTTGGATTTTTCTGGGTGCATTGGTGGCTTATTGAGCGGATGACCAGTAACAGATGCTTTGTCGCCAGTAGATAACTTTTCGTCTTCGCCCTTCGGAGGATCACATGTATCACAAATGGAGTCTTCACAGCAAGGATCGGGTTTATTTTTGCTTTCGTCTTTCTCCGCGACTGGTCCAGCTCCGCAAGAACGGAGAAAAGTGCAAGGGGATCCACACGGATGTCTGAATGTGTTTACTTTACCTTCAGCAAGTGGCTGGCAGCTCGAATGGATTGAGGAATCATTTTTGGGCATCGGACAAGATATTACTTCGACCTTCAGTGGTTCTTCGCTGTGAACTTCAGAAGAAAAACTGCCATTTTTCCTCATATTTTTCAAGAAGTTCTTCATATTAAGCCGCTTTTTGAACAGGTTTTTGTAGTAGTATCGATCACCCTTTTCATTTAGGATGCACGGACTTCTCTTTAACTCGCTGTTGCCCCAGACATCAGGGTGGCACATGACCTTGACCCCTCCGGCACAGGTCACTCGGCGTGGCTCACTGGGACACGTGGGAACCTTTCGGCATATCATTTTTCTATGACAGGTATTGGTTGGCCTGCGGGAACACCTGGTCAGTCGCGTGGCCGGAGAAAGCGGGATTCCATATTTATCAACGTGGTATCGACCATGGAATCGACATGGCGAGAATGATCTTAGTAAGCTCCTAGGCGTCGTTGAACGAGATGGACGTATAGCACATCTGAAATTGATTAATCTGTAATGGTTGCAAAGTTTGGGCAACGGAACAGCTGGGTTACAGAACCTGAGTTCTCTGAAGTTATCCACACATCGAGGGATCCTTTCGGGCTCAGGGGGTTTTGGAGGTGGGGTCGGTGGTCCCCAGCAAGCCTTGGCACTCTCTTGATGCTCATTATCACCACCATCTTGGAGGTTATCCTTCATGTCAACTAACTTTAAATGGTCATCCGCGATGCTTGTGTCGGACGGCATATTGTCGACTCCGGCTTTTGTTGGTGATGCATTAGCGTCTGGATCACGGCCAAAGAAGATAAGCAGTTTGCGGATGTGCTCTGGGTACAGCCACCTGTCCAACAAGATTTGTGCAAGCATCAGTCAATGTGAGCACAAAGAATTTGTTCAATTTGGGATTTGTTGTAGTGGACATAAGAAGAGAAATGGAAGTTCTCTGTATTATTTCCTAACATTACTCACTTCTCATTGGACAGATCTGTTAAAGTTTGTTTTAACTTCTATGGGGAATAACAGGATATTACATGGGGGACATGTGTGCACTTTGTTTTGTTGTTATCAAGCAATTCAAGGACATCCAGTTATCGGGAAAATTCTTGAAAATATTCTCAGACATGTCTGAAGATACTTCTGTAGGAACGATCTATTCTTCTAGTGTCCAATAATTAATGATGTGTTTTATCATTGCTGGGATTGTATTGAGTGTTAAAGTTCTTTTCATGTTATTTGATTTATTTGGTGATGGAGTGTACTATACCGGTGATATGGTGTACAGAACAGGAGATAATGCGTAATGTAAGGGGATGTGGTGTACTGCAATGTGATATTGTGTACTGCAATGTGATATGGTGTCGTGTCCATATGATCTTGTGTAATACACATGTAATGTAATGTACAGGGAATGTGATGTAATAAAAAAGTGAACAGGTGTACTGTACAGGTGGTAGTGTGAACGATTTAAAACACTATTTGAATCAAGAATGAGCCAGTATAATCCAAACCCTTCACCATCACTTACATTGGATACGCCTTTGGTGGCTCGTACAGCCCACGCCGTTGTGGAAACTGAAACTTGACCTCCGTGTTTTTGGCCGCTATTGCCTCCACGGTGGACATCAGAGCCTGCAATGCAAACTTTCGAATGCCAAATCTTTTTTGTGGAACTTTTTTCATTAATTTTAAATCATGTAGCATTCATGTACACAACTTTATTAATAAATTAACGAAAGTTTTCTCAGAACAATTCTTGGATTGATTTGTCCCAGTTTGACTTAATCTGTGTACTGTTTTTAAACCTTCAATACCAGTTGTAGACTAAATGTCTGGCACTTATTGCCAGTGCTAACAGCGACAAAAAGTTGTGTCAGGATAGTTTTACTTGTTATTTTTAAAATATGGTACTTCTTAATATGACCTAAAAACTACGTTCGTCTCGGTTGAGCAAGTTCTTTGTAACGTAGTGTAAATCTTGCTCTATTCAATATACCTCGGGGACTTACATTTCTAGAATCAAGAATATCAATTGACAAAGAATATGTTGTGAAATTTAAAATGATATAAACTGTTGTAAGGCTCAAACTGATTATAAACTGTAGTTATATCAATATTTCTAAGATTCAACACCCAGAAACGTCTACTTACAGCCCCTGCAGCGCTGGCTGTTTGGGCCAAAATATTGGCCAGTGGTAACTGCTGCAACAAGCCGCCGCTTTCATCTGAGACCAGGCTCTGCTCGGGTTGCTCGACCGCTGACAGAGTCGATTCACAGATCAAAGTTGCACTGGACGGGTCCAGTTTCGCGCTCTGGCCCTCATCTTGGTTTTCGTGAATAGTTGCCAGAGGCTCCTCCGGGCAAATCAAGGAATGGCACTCTTCGTAGTTCCCGTCCTCCATGTCCTGGAGAGTCGCCATGATGTCATCGTTCATGGCAAAGATGTTCTCGTTCAAGGCCATGACGTCATCGTTAAAGGTCATGACCTCTTCCGGTTCCACTATGTGTACCATGCCGAGTTCTGGTTCTTCTGAGTGCGTCACTCCTTCTTCTGGCACTTGTGTGAGGTCAATGAGAGGTTCTATAGAAAATCTGTTGTTTTCCAGTGACTTTACTTGATACTTTTCTGTTTCAGTTATTGACTTTTTATCTTTCATGCACGCGTCTGGACACTTGCATATGACGCACGGGTTACACACTATTTTTAAATCTTTTCTTGAACTTTTTCTCCGTTCCCTGCTTTCATTATTTCTTACGTCTTCAATCGACTTTAGGAATTTTTGTTTGCTTCGCTCCGGGCTTCTGGCATCTGAGTGAGACAAAACTTCCTTACAGCTTATTTTTGACCTTTTACGGGAAAGCCTTTTATCCTCACTCTCTTTGCTCAATGAGCTCTTCACATTGATAGTTTTTGGACTGTGCTCTTTGGTATCGGGCGACTCCAACTTCTTATCGTCGGAGCGACATTCTGGTGCTGCCAGCTGTAGTGGACATGGCCCACATTCTTCATCGTCATCGGGTGGGCAGATCATACAAACCGTTCTATCAATGATCAACTTTGAGTCGCTGCCAGGCAGGGTAGATGCCATTCCTTCAACACACAAGAAGGGGTCACTATCGTTATAGACTATCATTCTCTTGGATTTTGTCTTCACGTGCTTTTGTGGTGCTTCTTTGATTTCATGAGACCCGTGACTTTTCAAATCTGGGTTCGAAAGTTTTTTGGTGATGTCTCTTAATTCATCGCTGGTGCAGCCACAGTCTTTTTTCTCGGCTGACTTCCCCCCGAACAGAGACTGTAACCAGTTGACCACGTTGGGGTACCAGTTTTGTCGAGTTTGAAGAAATCTAAATAAGCTTCCTCGGCTTTGATGGCTCGCAGTGCTAACGAATTGTTCGATGTATTCTGGTGTTGTTAACGTGTTGAAGGGGCACGAGCACGATTTAATAACTTTGGACTTGGGCGAGGATGGCCCGTTATGCAGAGCGGTATGCTCCACCCCTTTTCGTATGCGATACAGTTTGCTGCCGCAGTATCTCAGTCCAGATTTGTTGACCGCGCTTCTGCGAAGTACGCTGTGTGCTGAGTAGTACCTGGTAACCGTTTTATCCTCCGTCCCATATTTGTCCCCACTGGATTTTGTGTACAGATGAGTTGAAGTCTCGATGGAACTGGACGTTATTGTTCTATCGTTCATCTGGTACTCGTTTATACTGTGTTTATTGTGAAAACTGCTTTGACGTGGATAGCTCTGTTTTGATGGGGAGTCAAATACACCTTCCGGAACTGTGCTAATTAATTCGAGGTTGTTTATTGCAGTGTTTGAAAGCATTGCATCATTTTCAGATATTACCTTAGGAATTTCTGGCATTTCCGACCTCTTTGAAGCGGAGCCTCTTAGACTTTCAAGGCTGGATGAGTTCTGCTCCAGCTGCCTCGAGGATAATGTTGTCGCAGACGATTCAGGGCATGAAGACTTTGAACTGGCAAATGACGTCATCATACTTGGTTTGTACTTCACCGAGTGGCCTCTGGGGCCTGACCCTGAACCGAGAGAATTCGAAAGTTCTGAACAAGTCTTGGATGCTATTTCGTGAGTGGATACATCGATCTTTGTCTCATCTCTTCTGGATTTATTTATAGATCGGATCCTTCCCTGGACCTTCCTTTCTCGGCTCTTTCTTTTTGGCTTGGTTTTCTCCGTGGTCGGTGGATGATTGGACGAGTTTTCATCGTGAGTCGATGTTCCCGTCACCAGGGTTAGGGATGAGCTTGATGGGTGTGACCACGATGAGTGACCGAGCTGGCTGGCGGAAAAAATCAAACTGTCGGTCACGTTTCTGGAATGCGTGTTGTGCAGCGTGGCTGTTGAATCCACGGAGATCGCCCGCTTTTTCGAGACTTTTTTCGAGTACTTTTTTCTGCAGTATTTTTTTCTTAAATTGATTTGTTGTAGTGGTTCGACCGCCGTTAAGGCAATCGACGTTGTATGAGAAGATTTGCCGACAGTCACAATAGAGGCGGAGGCAAGACGAGGCAATAGCTGCGTGGATAGGTCACTGCGTGACGACAGCTGAGACCTGTTAACAAAGTCTTCCAAAGCTTTTTCTGCGGCAGAGGTAATTCTATGTTTCAGCTCTTGAGACGCCACAATTGCTCTTATCTGAGAAGAGTGTTGGGAAATAGAAATTTGTGAATATTTCTTGACGTCAGGCCTACTCGATGTGTCCGAAGGATCCTCTGGGCCTGGCACCTTGTCATCTGAGTATTCGCTGGATTGACCATGGATGGACTTACCTTCCCCGTCGCCCATTCTAATGCTATTGTGATTGGCCTGGAGTTTGGGTTCGTCGACCTGATGGGTTGTTTGACGATTCCAATCAGAAACCGACAGAACACGACCGCCGATATCACTGTCATTGGTAGAGAATAATCTGTCCATTGGCACATGTGGGCGTTTTTCATTGACCGTGAACGACTCTGTTGCTGAAAATTGACTTTCCTGAATTTGGCCAGTTTTCTTGTTGCCCTCCATAACTTTAGAAGACGACGATTTATTCAATTCCTTTAAACCTCCGCTCTGTGGCTCACGGCTGCGCTGCTGTTCAGGGCTTACTGAATCTGACGGAAGGAGTGAAGAGTTACAGCAGTTCAGAGCAGAGTTCGCTATGTCGTTGGCTGCCTCCGTGGGAGACTCGCCGGGCGAGATCAGGGGCACCCAGTTGACGCAAGGGCGGGTGACTGAAATGTCCGAGGACGACTGAAGACATTTTAGAACATGCTGTCTGGAACTCGTAGTTGACCCATGAGGTGAAATGTGTCTGAGCGGAAATGGTGTTTGTGGTGAGGCATCTGTGTAAACAGTTTGTTCAGGCGGCATTCGTTTACGGGTGTGAGTTCTTGGTGTGTTACTTGCTGCCATCTCTTTATGTCGTTTAACTGATTTGGTTGGTATTTTGTAGTGCTTTGCAGTTGGACTGAAGCTCGCGGTTTAGCAAGCTTCTTGATGTGAATGAACTCTTGCAGTTGCAGCTCAGATGAACATCGCCAGCAAACGATCGCCTTGGCTATACTCAAGCTGTTCAATAGAGAGATGTATCAATAGTTCTATTCCCCGGGTGAACCTTGCTTGTACTCAATGGGTCCTTTTAATAGGGCGATGGGACTTACTTTATAAGGCTTGGCCCTAGAACAGGAAATGTAACGATGGAAATTGTTCATGTTGTCAAATAGAAATAAACTAAAAGCTGCAAGAATGTAGTCAATGCTATTGTGTGTTTATACCAAGAAGATCTTCCTGTTTGCCGATGCTGCGTTGTGAACAGAAGAACCGGTGCGCACAAATATCAAGCGATCGTTTTTTGTTTTCTCTAAAGTGCGTAGGACGGCAGCAAGTTTGAAATGCGCACATACTTCAAGTTTACAACCGCTCCATTGATTGGCCAGAATCATCCGTTCCATAATAAACACACACGTTATTGATACATAACAAAACACAGTTATTGCATACACAATAATTATGTACCTTATAGTAATAGAACACACAAGACACTTTTACTTAATAGAACATACAAGTTAATAAAAGACACTTGTACTTTAAGAAACGCACAAGAATTATTAATTAGGACAGCAAACCGGTTTCTACAAACAACGTGTGCAATTTTAAAAATGCAAACCAACAAATAAAAATAAGAATGAAATTAACTTTTAATTGAACAAAACACAACTTCAGTGAACACAAGTAAACAGTTTCCCTTTGACTTGATGCCCAACACAAGTAAACAGTTCCCTTTCACTTGATGCCCAACAGTTTTGGTTCATCTATTGAGCATTTCTTTTGTCAAAATTCTAGTGTAGTGTTATAAAATATCCTTTTCTTCCTAGTGTTTTCCCCCTCCCCACCCCTACTGTCTATGGTACCATTTGCTTTGTGGAGCCTGGTGTTTTGTTAATGTCTCTAAATGATATTGATCTCCCTTTGTATCCTCAAGTGGGCCTTCAAATTAAAAACATTTCAGGGAGATCCACAGCACCATATTAGCTCCCTTTCTTTTTTCAGGTGCAATGAATATGCTTTCAACACTCACATCCCCCTCCTATTATATAAATGATCCCAAAACCATCCAGACGTGTAAAAATCAATGATCCTCAAACCATTTAGGGCTCAAACACAATGTCTAAAAATCTATCTGTCACACATAATTTACATGTCATCTATGAAAACAGAATTGCATTGCTTATTATTTACATCATTGTAACAGTTATTAACACAACTTTTCAGGTTTGTACAATAAGATTTTGACATCTTCACACATCATAAAATGGTGTCAGTCACAAACTTTAAACATACTATTTTCTGAACATTGCATAACACATCACTTCTGAGCAAGGTACATTGAAACAAATCAAGAGAAAAGTCATTTCAATTACAGGAAGCTCAAATGACTTCACTTGTCATAATTGCAGGCATTTGTACTCAATTGTCACATGACAATCATAAAAACTATACCCTTACCATGTCACATTTAATCCAGCCATTTAGTGAAATGTCAGATGACAAACATAACAAATAGTCTAGTTGTATCACATTATAACAGGACATTTAATGCAGGAATTCAATGTAATATCACATGACAACCATTTGACATTTATTTTAGTATTTAGAAATTTGCTTGCATGCATTCCAACTGAATTTGTTACTATTATGCCCTTGCTATCATAATGCAAATTTTATTTAAGTAATAGTATGTACCCAGCAGGGGAAAACTGGCCGCAGCCAATTCTATTAAAAATATCATAATACTGTGGCAATCACATTTAAAGCCAGTGATAATTATGACTATTTGATTGATCAAAAACAGAATTGCCAAAACTAAAATTTTGATTTAATATAAATATATAAACTCCAGGGCAACAGCGCAACATGGGGACAAATCATTATAAATTCTCTACAAGATAAATTAAAATGGCCTAATTAGTGCATTAAAATTTCTAACACCAAATATTTACAGTAATGGATATTTAATGTGTACACTTATTTTTTGAAGTATTTTGTCTCAGCCCATGAAGTGATTGAAACAACTAAAAGTGATAGGTAACATGTGCTGCCACGGAAACATGTTTGTAGTTGTACCACTATGGAAACCTTTTTCTATCACCTAAGCTAGGCAAACATGTTTGTAGTTGTACCACTGGAAACATTTTCTATCACCTAAGCTAGGCAAACATGTTTGTAGTTGTACCACTATGGAAACCTTTTTCTATCACCTAAGCTAGGCAAACATGTTTGTAGTTGTACCACTATGGAAACCTTTTTCTATCACCTAAGCTAGGCAAACATGTTTTTAGTTGTACCACTGGAAACATTTTCTATCACCTAAGCTAGGCAAACATGTTTGTAGTTGTACCACTATGGAAACCTTTTTCTATCACCTAAGCTAGGCAAACATGTATGTAGTTGTACCACTATGGAAACATTATTTTGTTATTTAAGCTTTGAAAGGTCATTTCTTTTCATGTTGTTTTAAATCACATTTAATAATAAATCCTTTAATAATTTTTGTGGGCATATTATTATACAGAATACAAACAACATACTTCAAATATCTTAGCTTATTTACCAATGAATACTATATTTAAACTGAATAAATGTGGTGAACAAAATCAAGCACGGAAGGTAAGCTCTCTTTAAAATAACAAACTACTCAAAGTTTTCTTCAAACACTTTGTTATGCAGTAAAAACTTTGAAGCAACAAAAGAATAAAATAACCATCCATAAAATAGGGAACAAATTATTTATACAAATTTTGTTATTTATTTATTTGTTTTTCAAGTGTTTAAAATAAATCTAGAAACTAGAACAACTGTAGTCATTCATTTTCATTATTTGTACCACCAAATCTGATGGAAAATCATGTAGAAAATAATCATCATTTACCTTATTACTTTAAAATCTATTTTTCTTTCTTTACCAAAAACATCCATCATTTCAAACCTTTGATGGCGTAGTGACCTGTTGAAAATACTCTCATGACAAGTATTTATTTAATAAGTGATGACATCCACTCTTGATTTAATATCCAATCTTTTGTGTTGTCACATTCAAACACTAAATGAAACATAAGTGTCACTAAGATGGTTGGTTTTTTTTTATTTGGTCCCTAAAAATAATAAACAAACTGTCATATTATTTCAATGCCTATTACTAAATACTAGAGTAGGTTAAAAAATCATCCTAAGTTCTCTTCCTACAACTTCTTGTCCACACTTTCTCAACCAATGGCTGGCTGTACAAGATGACTAAAACAAAACTCTTTCTTACAGTGGAATTTTCCTATGGCTCCAGCAATTGAAGTTAACGCTAGAACTTTGAACTCAACAAATAAGAGGAAATAAAGATAGTTGAATGTTGATCACTAGCAAGTCATAGAGAGCCGTAATATTCATCAAGATTACCACTTACATTAGGATCTACACGTGAAGTTCTTTACTGTGTTAATGTAACAACAGCTGATAATATTGTTTCAACAATCACCTTTAATTTTGGTACAGTCCTTAAAATTTTTTGACACCACATTAACATGCAGCTTAATGTTTGACAATTTTATGAATCGGATCCAATACATTTTTGACGACTTAAAACTTTATACTGCTTATGACATTAAATTAATCCATATCTCAATTGTGAATTATTTAAGTCTTATACAAATGGTTTACCCTAAAAAAATATCCTTGCTAACATCTTTGCAAAAATAGTGGAAAATAACTGCAAGAGTTGTAGAGTTAAGTCCCAATTCTTGATCACAACAGGTTAGTTCTCGGCTGTTTATGTCCAGAAAGTCCTCAACAAAATTAGAAGAACATCTCCTTTCACACAACCAAAACATTAAGTCTTAAGAGCTAGCAGGTCTTAGAGCTAAAGGCTGGCTATTGTCATGAGTTCTGAGACACAGGTGGGTTCTGGGACATTGACTTCGAGGTCTCCTCCACCAACAGATGCTCTAGAACAGAGAAAATTAAACAGATCATGTTCATGGTCTTGAACTGAATCAATCAAAGCATTCTTAAATGTTCTAGAGAAAATATGCTCTTGGCAATGATCTAGCTTTACTTGAGAGAAAAATGTAACATAGCTAGCTTCATTGATTATGCATGACAAAAATCTATCTTTGTAAACTTTACTTGCCATATGTAACAGAGATATTAACAAGTCTGTCCAAAAAAATTTAATTTGATATCTTAATTTCTTAATGAGCACTAGAAAATATCACCCGATGTTATCAAGATAATAATGGCAAACACTTTGCAATAATGTCTACTGCGAAAACTCATCACAATTCCTTCTTTTAAAAAGAAGTACGTATCTATGTAATTATGTTTATGTTTCTAACATCATTAAAAAATTTTAAGAAGTATTTTTCTGCTATATATCATACACCTACTCTACCCCTTTTTGAGCTCCTAAACTACAATTTTTTTCTCTCTAAACATGGCCTTAAATTATCTAATCTAAATGATCACTAATTAAATCATTATTGTCCCTAAAAGAGTTCATTTAAGCCTGATTTCTACGCTAAATAAATACTTAAGATTAAGATGACGTGTTTTTAAATTGTTAAAAGTTGAGCCTGCCCTATCACAGTTCGCGCCCCTAATCTAAAAAAAATTATCTCTAAAAATTGTGAAAACTTAATGTTAAATTTACAACAAAAACTTATATACCATTTTAAATATATTTTATATTAATGGAATTTGATATATTGATATCTTTATTAAAAATTTAAACAAACTTTTGCACTTGTTTTCTACTATATTATCAGAAAATCGTAAAACAAAGAATTCCTTTATCTAAAGAAGAATCCCTTAACCGTTTTTCACATCTGTAACAGCCTTGAGTGTCATATTTATAGAAATATTATAAATCTCATAAAAATATGCACCCACTTTACTTTTCACAAAGTAAACAAAAATATATGTATATATTTTCATTTTTTTAAAGAAAATCTTAACCCCTTTCTCTTTTTCAAAATTAAATTTTCATGTGTGTAAAATGATTGGGTTTTGATATTTATGGGTTTACTTGTGCAAATTTACCCACGTGTTGCTAACGCCATTGATTTTCTTAATTGGTAAACATATGTTTATTTAGAAAAAGAGAACGTAACATCTATTTCTCACAACTATAATATCATTGTCATCCACATAAAAATGTACACACCCTATTTCCTTCCCTTGATAAGTATGTACCTTAGAGGGTAAATTATTTATGAAATACAT